GTAAAAAAATCTTACTCTTGGGATAAGCAACCGGGTACTAAACATTTTTCCCGTAAATAATTTTGTTCACAAGATTTTGCTGTTGTTTCATCTCGCTTCATGAATCTACGATCCAGCGCATCTGACAGAGTGGTATTACACTTACTTGAGATGATAAAGGCTTGTAGCTTGAATCCGACTGGGACCTGTTTTTTTTCTCGAAAGGAGAAATTTTGTGCTGTTTTGGACTATTGTCAGTAGATTTTTCTTTTGTCGGCTTAGCTCCCGTAGCATGGACTCCTTTTAAATATTCAATTTCTTCTAAGTTCTTGAATACCATTTCTGAAGCCCCATTGGTGGAGGAATTTGAGATAAAAGGTTGTTTCCGGAATTTATGTTCAAAAAAATTTAAAACAAAACAATATTAAAATAAAATTTCATTTTTTTGCTCTGTCCATTAATTTGTAAAAAATTATTATGTATGCGATCATTGTGATTGCGATTAATGCGATCATTGTAATAGATTTGTCCAACAATATCACTGAATCATTTTTCTTGAATCTGCACTTTCGTAAATCTGCAACCACTATAGTAAATCTCCAACTAACAGACATATTCTGCGCATGTTTGCATTTCGAATACCTGTTCTATTCAATTTTTGTTTTTTATATTTGTTTTATTTTTCCTATCTCCGGTTCGGTATAATCAGTTTTTTTTTGTTCACTCGGCTTAAGTTTTTCGGTTTATACTTCATCGGCTCAGTGGCATCATTTTGCATCGTTGGATGAGCCAAACACATGTTCTATGTCTGAGTCTTTTGACGGGTAATTTAGCGTTCTATGATTTTTGAGTTTTTACAAATGAGTTTTATTTGTCATAATTTTTATAAGTGAATCTTTTCAAAACAAATATGGGAAAATTTTTTGGAGATCTGGCTTTTCTCGACATTTTCAAAAAAATGTCAACTTTTCAGCGTTCGTCCTAATTTCTGCCTGCTAGTTTGACATGCTATTCATGTGTTGTTTCGGAAGTGGTGCGAAGCTCTGCTTCGCTTCTGTGTTGAAGTTGGTCTGAAAATGCATATTAATTATAGAATGGGATTGATAAAATACTGTTAACAAGCTGGCTCTCGTGCATCAGGATATATTAGCTTCAGATAAGGAAACGTCTGCAGGAATTAAATTAAGAGTTCAACCTCGCATTACGGTTGCAATTAGCAAACGTTATCAAATCGGAATGTAGAAAAATTCGGGTTAACAATTGGCTTAACAAAATCAATTGAATCTCTTATGGGTGGAAAAGTCGAAAAAGTCTGTGGGGGAATTTTTGACTGTTCGAAAAAGTCTGTGGGGGAATTTTTGACCGATATTTTGATTTTTTTTTCGTTTTCTCAAAAACTGACCGACCAAATCAGAGATTTTTGTTTTAAATAAAACAACGGATTTAGAACGCTCACATGCAGCTATGTCCGAACTGATTTTACCCACAAAATTATGGCCCTCGGAATAGTGAAAATTTCTAATTTTTTGAGCTTTTGAGCGTTTTTTGAGTTTTTCGATTTTTCTCAAAAACTAACTCACAAACCTGATGTGGTTTCAATAGAGAGAACGGGTAGTTGGAAGTTCTCTTGTTTTAGTGGCCACTCCCAAATTTCTTGCATAAAAATTTATCATCCTCGGAAAATCATATTGTTGATTTTTAAGCATTTTTTTCTAAGTTTCACGAATTTTATCAAAAATTACCCTCCCATATCTGAGATGTTCGGTTCAATCCAAAGTACGGGTTGTGGGAAGCTCTTTTGCATACGCGACTACGCGCAATTGTTTTTGACACCAGATTTTGTGGTCCTCGGAGAAGTGAAAATGTCTTAACCGTTTTTAAGTTTTTTGACTTTTCTCGAGAACTACCCTGCCAAACCTGGGTTTTTGAGTTCAGCCGAAATTACAAGTTGACAATTTGGCGAATCTCTTCTGCATAAGCGGCTGCGCGCAATTTTTTTGAAACAAAAAGCTTTGATTCTCGGAATTGTTAACTATCTGATTTGTTGACCGTATTTGGACATTTTTTGATCACTATTATGGGAAATCTGTTATCATAAATTAAATCGACACCTTAAGTTGTTGGAAGCTTTCCTTTGTAATTTACCAGGATCAGTGCAAAAAGAAGTTTTGGCCTTCAAACAAATGAAAGTTTTGAAACTTCGGCCGTTTTTTGGAAGTTGTTTTGACTTCACTCGAAAGTTATCGTGCCAATCCTCAAGTTAAGTGTTCAATCGAGAAACCTGATTTTTAGAATCTTCTCTACTCTTGGAGCCACGTAGAAAATTGTACCTGATTTCGGAAAGTCAAGTTTTTGCGCGAATTTTTCCTGCAGAAGCTGCTACCTTTCTTGTAATCTTGCTTCCCAAGTAACAAATTTTCACTCTTTTTAGTCAATGTAGTAGAGAAACAACTACCGTTTTGTGCTAAGTACAATTTTTAAAATTGCGCATTTTGTACCGAATTAGTGTAACATATTCAAAAAATATAAGACAGATATATCCAGCTTTAGCTGGGCCCTAGGTGTCCTTCATCGAGTTATGCTAAATCTTTGGTTCACCTAGTTTTTTTCAAGCTGTTCAATTTTTTATGATTGTGTTGCATCGCAAGTGGTGCGAAGCTCCGCTTCGCCTCTGTGTTCAATTTATTCTTCATGGAAAGCGAAAAAATTTCGACCTTTTTTCTTGACAGCGAGACCGTAGTTCATTTTTCGGAATGCAATTCACAGTCAAAAGGGATTTGATATGATAGATATACCCCCTCATGAGCTTTTCTCTAGGTATTTTAAAATCACGAGCAAAAAACCACACCCCAAATCAGTGTTTCTGTGTTTCAATTCCTGACATAGCTGGTACAGAAAAAGTTTTTTTTTAAAGCTAAATCCTGTCCAGTTTAATGCGTTTTGCTAAGATTGTATCGGCTACGACTCAAATTTTTTGGTCTTATGCTTGTAATGAGGAATTTCTGTGAGTTGAGAAACCTTAAGAATAAGAAATGTGTGTTTATGAGACATGAAAAAAGTTCTGAGAATATTGGATTATGTTACCACAATGTTTTGCAGCGGTTTTTTCATGCTTCCGAATTTTCGTAAATTTTGTCGACCTTTTTGTTGGTCGACCAAGCTACTTTTCCGAGACCCTGTCCCTGTTCTGATCAAATTTTTTGCGCCTAAACAGGCCAAAAAAGGCATTTTTTGGAAAATTTCGACCAAAAAATTGTGCTTTTTCGGCATGCGTTCCCCTCTCAAAATTAGTATATATTGGCGCCAAAGGATAGAAAAATTTTAGGGTCAGTCACCAAAAATGGATATCTCAAAATAGTACAAAATTGGACCCTTTGGGTCGACAAGTGGTCGAATCCCTGAAGGAGGAAGCGTCCGCCCCCCCCCCCCCCCCGCAATCCCCCCACTAAGTGATAGTTTTAGCTCCTGGTAACAAATCAATTATGGCGAATAAGCTTCCTTCAACCAATTTGAAACAATTTCTAAGACGGATTAAATCTCCGCTTACGCTTTAATAGCGCGAAATATATCGCGCGTTAATTGTGCCAAATTGGCCCAAATGGCAAAACTTAAACCCCACTAAATTTACGAAAATTTATCACAGGTGAAGCAAAATATCTTTTCAAATTTAAGCTCAGAACAACGACACCTTTTGAATGGTATTTTAAAAATTCCGTCAAAAATGGCTTGTCAAAAAGTCGAAATTTGTCTGAAGAAAAAACCACTCCGAGCACATTTCGTTACGAAAGTCGAAACAATAAGTGCTTAATCAGGCTTTGTGCTGTGGCTCGCAGTAATGTCCACCATTTGAAAATAAGTTTCCGGTTGATGGTCGGCGAAGCACCTAAGATAATGCCTGAAGTTTTCGTTTGCAACAAAAGCAGCTTCGAATCAGTGTAATAGTTTTGTGTAGATTTCTTTTTTTCGCCCTTGTGTATAAGTAAATGAAATGTGTAGTTTATCCCCATTAATATTGTTACCCATTGTGTAGTTTACCCATTAAATTGTCTAGATTATTCGTAGAGGGTTTTGTATGAACGAAAGCGCCAAAACCTCGCTGAGCCTCTGTGTTTCAATTTTAAAATTGAGATAAAAACTAAAATGTTCCGCATTTATTTGCTCTTCGTTTTGATTTCCAGGAAATTCTTGTTCCGTCTATGTGTCTGAAATTGATTGGAATGAAGTGTGACGCAGGGTTGCTTTTTGCCCAATTTTCAGTACCTCAAAAATATATCGGCATTGTGTGTGATTTTAAAACAATTAGTTGGCATTCAGGTTCCTAAAATAAAGGTTGTCTCAGTAAAATAATCAAAGGTTGTGTCAGTATGGAAAAAAGTGCTGGTCTGATTTTTATTTATTCATTCTCATTATCAGTTAAAAGAGTTCTTATTTAAATGATGATCAATTATTCATTTGAAAAAAAAAAACAGTTATTCATTTGAATAGTTGATTGATATGTTGTAATGGACTCTTCTACTGTTGAAAAAATATTCTGAAAAACTCCCAAAAAACGTTTTTGTTTTTTTTTGCAATAATTATTTTGGTCGGAGTTTTTTGCTCTTCTTATGCAACAAGGGCTATCCTTATTTTTCCTGTTTGTAAATATTTATATCGTATCTAGTTATCATATCATATCATAATTATATCTAGAGTTTAGTTTTTGAGGTGATCTATTCAAATGCTGAAGTGTGACTGTTTGTTTACTGGTAAATTTGTTCTCAATCTTTTTTCAAAAGTAAGATTTGCCAAAGTGCTTGAGAATTAATCGCATACAACAAGCTGGTTTAGACGAATACTCTGATGGAAAATTATATGTTAAAGAATAAGCAAAGCAATTTTTTAAGACCATAAAACAGTCGAAGTCGTCAAAAAATGTGAAGAATTAATTCTACAGTGAAGACAATAGTTTGATGCAACAAAACGAGACGATTTAACAACAAAGCGCAAAGTTTAAAACCATTGAATCGTCTTTTACAAAAAATCATTCAGTATTTTGCACATGTGCTTTTCTGTACTTCCAGTTTGCATTTAAGAAAGGCATTTAGATTTTTGCTTTAAAATTTGAAACGTTGATTTATTTATACCACATAGAGCTACTCTAATTTTTAAAAGGCTTCTTCCTGCAGGTAGGTGAAATAGTTGAACATCAAACTAATATAATGTTTTGTTTATTCAAAGTTAATAAATAATATTTTATTTTGTTGTAACCTCCCAACAATTTATTAAACAGACTTTTCAACTAAGTTTTCTGCGGTTTTCGGCATAGCAAATGTACGAACTTCGTAATTAACAGAAAAAGCTCGGCAAAGTATAACAAGCATAAAAAGAAAAATGCCGTTTTTTGAAGCCTCCTTTTGTTACAATTTCAGTGGCCTTGACATTGAATAGATTGTACTGATTCATGACAATAGCGCCCTGTTCGTTTTTGCAGTGTGATAATCTGGAGTGGTAACTGAGTTGCTGACCTTGAAATGGCACCCACTCCGTCTGTTGAGGAACTGCAGACTCAGCTGGAAGAACTCATCTACAGAAACACCGAGCTAGAAGAGCAGGTCAGTAACTTCTTATCCCTCTAAAGTTATTATCCCGCATGTTAAATAGTTCAGATTGTTCAGCAAGCTTGAATAACATTACGTTTAAGTTTCATCCGTAGCACAAAAACAAAAAAAATGTTTTCTAAGCATCCTCAGTGGTCAACATATTTGGGCAAATAACTTAAAATGGGCTCTCGTATGCGGGTGAACTTCATTGAAATGAAAACGAAAATATAAATCAAGTAAGAATTATTCTATGAAGTGGCTAATTTTTGTCATTAAATTTGTCGGAAGAACATCTTCAGATAATTTCAAGAAATATTTCGATCCACCAGAGAGAAAAGATATAATGCGAACTGTCTCTGAATTAGACTTATTTGCTTTTTTAGTTAATTTTCTATGCTGTTTTTTTTGCGTCACATGTCTGCTGTTGTTCGATAACACAGGCAGTGCTTTGCAACCCAAATGAATTCGTTAGCTGTCGCCTCACAGTTTTTGGTGCAATTTTGGTTAACATATTTACCATTAATATTTTAAAATAAATTCTTCTCTTCTTCAAGTACGGATCATAGTGGGCTCGGAAAGCCAACCTCATGATTGTGAGGTGGAGGCATGGCCACTTCATTTCGCCTTGGCTCCGCTTCTAGTTAAATCCTGTTTCTTGCATAGCGTATAGAATATTACATAATCTGAGTGATGTGTTACGTAACATATAGGTCGAGGAATGGAAGGCAGCGAGTCAGGAGAAGGAGACTGTGTTGGAGTCCATCACAGATGAGATCAGTGAATTCAAGGAAGTGCTGGAGAAAGAGAAGACTCAGCTGGAAACAACAGTTGAGAAACTGCAAGAGAGAATCAGAGAACTGGAGGCCATCATTGCGGTATGATTTAACTAAGTTCTGTCATCTTATTCATGGAATAATTATCTTTTCGGCTAAACACGTTTCCGGCTAAATATGTTTCCGGCTAAATGAGAGGTGCCCGGTAAATTAAAATTACAGGTATCTTCAAACCTATTTATTGAAATTTGTTGCGCCTTTATGTCCGAACAGTCATACACCCTCGTCAAAAACTCCCGGTAAAAAATTTCGTCGCTCGCCACTGGCTGACTTTCATATCGCATCAACAGATACCCATTGTATGTTTTGGTTGTGATAATGCAGGGCAACCAGGGGCTGAAGGAGGGTCTGGAGCAGTTGGACTCTCTGAAGGCGAGTACGGAGGAGGAGAGGGAGAAAGACGAGGAGATAGCGAGGCTGAAAGAGGAACTGAGGAAAACTCAGGAGCAGCAAGCACAACAGATGAAACGGGTAAGCGCATTGGCGACGTGCAGAACAAAATTGCTCCAATACACCCCCTGCGTTGTTGTTTTAAGGGTTTTCCGTCATTACGGCCGAATATGGCTTACCAATTCTACTAGAAATTCTTGATACTATTCAATGTATCAGTGGAGCTCGTACAACAGATTTTGAACTAACCCAATTTCAGATTTGTTGTTATTTCAATCGATAGCCTACGAATATCCGGCAAATATATCGAAAATGCTTTTGAAAATTTAGTCTAGACTAAATCCATAATTTTGATAAATACAACTTCTAAAAATGTTAAACTGCATTAATAATTTCCCCACTTGAAAACTAACTTCTTATGGATATGATAATGTAAACAATTTGATAATTCAAACATCGGCAATAGTAAATTTTTTAATAAAATTGATCATAATTTGCTTATTACAATTGCGATGAGCATGAGCAAGGTTATTGCACTCGGGTACAACACTTTTTTCCGCAAAAAAAAACTTTGTTCACAGAATGGACGAAATTGTTATGGTAATCATTTCATTAACATTATACCATGGTCAGTGTAGCTAGTAGTAGTTGAGAATTAGATATGGGCACTGGGAGCCTAATCTAGGTTATTTTTGCAGAGCCCAAAAATTTTCGGTAGAAATCCGGCGCTGGAAGAAGTCGGCCTTAATTTTGTCGTCTTATTTTGCGAAGTTTTTTTTTTCGATTTACCTGGTATCAATGAGAGTGATTGAATTCTTATATGAAATCTTGAAAAAGTATAAATCAACCTCCTGAACTCTGTGAAAAAATAAAACAATTAAACATAATTTCAAATTTTTTTTTGAAATTTTAAAAATTTTTGATTTTCTTTCAAGCTTTTTTCTAAGATCAAAAAACAAAGTTAGTTTAAACCTTTGTTGTTTTTGTTTGTTCGATCGGCTGCATTTTTTTGCGTTGTTTCTGCTACATAAAATAGTTGTTCAAATTTAGCTTATTTTTGTTCCGACCATTTGAAAAATATGGAGGTAACTTTGTATACGGGTGTGTTTTAGTTTTTCTTTTTGTTTTCCTCGGAAAATCAGGTACCACAAACAATCATCGGAATAGGTCGAGTGATTTATCATAAAGAAGTTCTTTCAGTCAAGATTTTAACTACTATTAACAATTTCTAAAAAATTTTTCGAGTGTCGAGAAAAACCGATTTGAAGTTTTTGATTTCTCGTCAAATTTCGAGCGAGTAAAGCGAGCGAGCATGCTTAGTTTTGCTTAATTTAGGCCGTTTACACTAGCTTATCTGGCTTATTTTTTGTTTTAATCGAGAAAAATTAGGTTTTCCGAGTTTTATTTACGCCATTTTGAGAATTATAAACTTTAAAATTTCTGCAAAAAAACCTGAAGTTTTTTTTGAATTTTTTTTTTTGATTTTTTTTTTGTTTCTCTGGTCATTTTTCTTCAAAAATTGTTGTCCAGTTTGCTTGTTTTCCTATCTCTGCCGAATATTCCTGAACTGTAGTTTTTTGGTCAGATATTGTTATCCCACCACGCAGAAAAAACGACACTTTTTTTGAAAGAAATAAAGTTTGTGGGCTTTTAAGACTATGGTCGCAACATTCTGTCTACTTGCTCAGTAAATGGCTGTCTCTGTTTTGCTTAGACTTTTTTGAGTTTTTCGACATTTATTTTTTATTTTTTTTTCCTCCTAAGATTCTAACCCATATTGCTTAAATGTAGTCTTTTCATTCGAATTATGAGGACCAAGCAAGCCTGGAGTCCTGTAAAATCTGAATTCAATCAACGTAGCTTTCGGTAGTTGTGTTCAAAACTGCAAGACGAACTTGTTGATTTATTGCGTCAAATTGCATTGCTGTTTGCTAATTTTTCTGATACACTTGTTGGTTTTCTTTAGTTTTAGGTAGTTTCAATAAGCGAATTGACTTCTTACTTCTTGGTTGTCATTTTTTGGAAAAATTTTTATAGTCAATTTTTTCACGTCCAGAAATGTTTTTTTTTTACTTTTCAGGTATTTTTTTTTACTTTTTAGGAGTTTAAATTGGCGTTTATTTTTGGCTTTAAAGATTTTCAAAGTCAATTGGTTGTTCATAGCTAGTGTTACTTATTTGTTTTTCACCTCTTTGTTTGATTCGAGTTTTTGTGAGCATTTTTTGTTGAAACAAGAAGAGTCTTTTTTAGATTTTGAATTCAGATTTCATTCAGATTCAAAAAATCAGATTTCAGTTTTTATTATTGCTGTGCTGTTTTCAAATATTTTCTTCCCACGTCTTCTGCAAAGCAGGTAAATTTACAACGTCAGTTGGAGTCAAAACAACGTTGCTGCTTGCTTAATTTTCAAAAATTTGCAAAAATTTTCCTATTGGAGTTCTTAAAGCTTGGTAACATACATTTTTCCAACGGAAGTGTTGCGAAACTCTGCTTCGCTTCGTGTAACTAAATTAAAGTCCTATGAAGTATGATGCAAAGCTTCTGATTGGCTCCGCAATTCCTTGAGTGATAGAAAGCAACATGTAGATATAGTTTTTGCAACTTCGAGGCTAGAGGAAGGGTAATGGGGATAGAAAATAAATAATTGTCATTAAGTTCAAATCTAATTTTATCAGTATTTAATTTATTTGTTTTGTTCATTTTCCGGATTTCATAAGAACGTAGGTACCTAGTAATAATAATTATCAAAGAATTTCCACCCATATAGTGAACTAATTCAACCGGCAAGCAATTAGAATGAGTTTTGAACCATGTCAGGAAATGCCTCCTTTTGCAATAGCGGGAGGGGGTTCGATCGAAAAGATCCTGGTTTTCTTCTCCTGCTCTATGTTATGGGTGTTTCTTAAGTAAACTATTGTTTTTAGGATCTTACTGCATTGCACGATCCGCGTTCTCTTGTGGATGAGCTGATGCGCATTTCGCTGTCGGCCGAGGCAGCATCCAAATTGATGCTGCTCATTGGCAAGAGCATGGACTTCGACGTCGAGGCACTAAGCGACACCTTCCAGAAGAAGAGTCCAGAGGAGAGACAGAAGGAACTGTCTGATCTGGTCAGTCTAATTGTTCCACTTGATTGCAGAGGCAACATGGAATGATCATTAAAACTAAATTTTATAAGATATTGCTAGAATATTACAAAATGAATCTTGCTATTTATCCCGTTGCTTTCAACGACTCCTTACCATCTTTTTATAATTTATTTTGTTTCAAATTCCTAGAAATTGTCAATTTCCTGGTTTGTTATCAAATCGTATTAAGTTCTCTGCTTTTTCTCGCGGCGCAGTTTTAATTTAACTCGAAAAACGTTTCACTTATATTGGTTATCTCATCACATAGATTATGGAAGAAACAATTAGCAAGGTTCGTTTCACACAAAGTACGTCCATCATCTAGTCCTCTTAGCTATCACAATATCCTCACTTACCAAGCACTACCAAGAAAAAAATTTGTCTGACGCATTATTTTTTACATAATTTGTTTTCATAATTGTGTGTTCTGATGTAGCTATACAACCAAGTGTCCGAACTACACTCCAACAACAAACAACTACAAGTGGACGTGGTTGAGAAAACAGACCAGATCGAGGGGCTAAAAGTGGAATTGCAGACATTGGAAGAATCCAGTGTGCCAGTCGTTCATGTAGAGCAGCTCAAATCAAGTCTGGAACAGGTTACGAAGGAATCGGAGATCCACCAGGAGAAGGTACAACAGCATGTTGACACGATAGGACAACTCAAACAGGACTTAGGTACGAACAAAGTTTAAACCTCGAATCAATTTTCCTCTAACACTTTAGAACACAGCACGTTCTATAAAAGCTCTGTCTGTGTCTCTGTTTTCGAGCTGACTACGATTTCATCAACTCATGCTGAATAAAAGTGCTAGATAAATATTATTAACAAATCGCAAAAAAATTAACATAAGTTAGAATGTCTCTCTGAAATGTTTCTTAATAAATAAATCAGCTCATTGTGATTTTACATCAGTCCCAAACTTTTCGGATACATTTTTTTTCAAAACGCTCAAAAGTGGAAATTTTTGTTTTAATGACATCACAAATATTTGCCTTGCCAATAAATTGCTTTCTGTGTGCCTGAAGAGAAAAAGCTCCTAGTTGAAGGTATGTTGACTCAAATTATTTCATATCTGAAGCCCGTATAATTAGAACTGACTTCCGTTTGCTGTATTTTGTCAAGTCATTCTTTTTAACTTTTAGATGAGTGTTATTATTGTTCCGAGTTACGAAGAAAGTGCAGAATAAATATGCTAGGAGTCGTTTTTTATTCTGACCAAACTTACAAAGAACGTTTTGAACAGCCCGTGGATCGATCCTGGAATCTTTAATTAGCAATTCCTCGTCTTGCGAGAGAAGTGTCTTGTAATCGGGAACTAGACCTTTTTTTATAAATAACTTTTCTTACAAGAAATTGAACTTCTTGCTTTTTTATCTAAACTTAACAACTTGCAGGTTCCGTCCCATTTGGTCTGGAGGTAACTTTGTCACTATTGCACTTTTAGTCTAGGGGTTTCGAGTACCGGCAGGACCTTGTTTTTTTTTCTGTATGTATAAAATTGAAAAAAATTTTCCGGTAAAAATTGAAATGTTGGTTTTTGAAAAGCTTTGAAAAAATTATGGCCCACGGAAAAGTCAAATATTTGAAATTTTTTGATGTTTTTGAAAAATACCCCCTGAAATCTGAATATGTGGGTACAGCAGAGATAGCGGGTGGTCGGAAGCTTCCTTGTCCTAGCGGCTTCTCCCAGTCATGTTTAAAAAAAATTTAATCACCCGCGGATAATTCAACCACTTTTTGACTTTCCTTGAAAACTAAACTCCCAAATCTGAGTTGTAGGTTCAATCAAAATTACACGTTGCTTAGTTTTTTCTGCATAAGACGCTACGCCAAAACTTATTTGCACAAAATAATATGATTCTCGGAAATTTTTCATATGTTGACTGTTTTTTTTTAAATTATTTGACTTTTCTTGATAACAATCCTGCCAAATCTGATACTAATATTCTAATCGAAACAATAGGTTTTGAAAGCCGATTATAATTGGATACGATCATTATTTTTTTAATATGGCCTTCAAAAAAGTTCGAAAATTCGACCGTTTTTTCGAAACTTTGATTTTTCTCAAAAATTACCTTGCCAAACATTCTCAGGTTGTATTCCACTGAGAAAAACGGGTTTTGGGAATTTTCTCTGCGTAATTGACAACGATGTAGTTTTAGCAGAACAATGTTACAAGTTCGGAAAGTCAAGTTTTAGAACTTTTGACCGATTTTTAGAATTTTTCAGACTTTCCTTAAAACTATCTTATCAAATGAAGGTACAGACAGAGAGTTTAATCAAAAGAACCGATTGCGGTAGTTTTTCCTGCTGATGCGACTTTTTAATGTTTGTAAAAAAATGTTATGTCCTTGGTCCTAGTATCTCAAAAATTTTCTCTTTTCTCACTCATTTTTAGCAGAGAAACAACTAAGTTTTATGGCAAAGTGCAGTTTTTGAAATTTTCCATTTCATCCTGAATCGGTATAACAAATTCAAAGTATCAGTATTGTATCTCTCGGTTTTAGCTGGGCCACAGATGTCTTTTATCGACACATAAGAAAAGTTGGTTCAACTAGTTTTTTTTTCGTGTTGTATTAAAAGTTGTCCGAAGCTCCACTGTGCCTCTGAGTTTAATACGCAATAGTTTCAACACGCCAATTTATTTTTGCTTGACGAACTATCCGGAACCAATAAGGTTTTCAAGTTTAATTGAGACCAACTACATTGGTCATATTTACAGACGCGAGCATAGTGTCACATTACGATCTCCATTTTTTTTTCAACCCAACTCGCAAATAAAATTAACTTGCTCGTTTAGTGCTTTCCAATTTACAAGTGAATAGTGTTTGTTATCTAGTGTCTGGTATCAGTGGCACAGTTGCGTAGAGCATTCTGTTTGAAAACTTGGATGTCCGTGGACTGAGGTTCGATTTCAGTAGAACTCATTTGTTTTCCAAAATTCAACGATTTTTCGTTTCTTACTTTTTCTCTGTTTTTGTCCCTCTCAAACCTATTTTTGCCATTTTTTAATTTTGCTGGCAAAATTCAGATTCGGCACTGTGTATTTCTTTATACGTATCAAAATCTTAAGATTTCATATTTGTCCATAATGCACAATTTAGTTTAAAAATTCATTCAATTTAAGTGTGATAAAAGGGAATAGTTTGAAATAAATAACAGGATCCCCGATAGTGTTGATAGTGCTTCCAAATTATTCAATTTACTGCTTCGGTGATGTCAAAAAAAGCATCGAATAAGCCAGCGCAAATTAGACAAGCTAATAAGTTTTGAGAGAAATTGTTGAAAACTAACGATCGGAGTATTCTGATTTAATGAGTGGCTGTATTTGCTCAGCTTTAGAGATACGCAAGACCTTTCTATCGCAATTGTTCCTTCTATTTACCAGAAACTATTTACCCAAGCATAGCTTGTGTTATAGTATGAACTATCATTTTTTCCTACCTAAGTCGCAAATATTGTTGCGATGCATTTGTTGCGACAAAATGTGTTCATTTTGAAAGTGTTCATTTTGATCCAGCTATTAAATACAGCCAATGTTAAGGATATTAACACAAACTATTATTTTACGAATAGCACTTAAGCTTCAAGGTATCATGGATCTGTAGCGTGGAGGTAGGGATGGAGACCAGCAACAAAATAAGAGGGTTCGAAACTGGGCAGGTTAGGATGTTTTTAATAAACTTTCGTATACTAGTTAAAACGCGTCCGCTCTATAAATTGAGGCATCTTAGTTGGTAAATTTCTTTTTTTTTATTGACTGGTACTGCTAATGCGTCATAATTGGCTTGCGTCACTTAGCAATTATGTAGACTCATAATTGGCGTGCGTCACTTAAGAATTTATGTAGACTCAAAATTTTACTCATTTAGTTTTCACAGTAGCGTTATCGTTAATATTTTTGCTTGTGTATGCGAAGTGCAATTTCGCCTCTGTGTCAACAGTTTGATTGCAACTGCCGGTTCATTTCGATTGAATGAAACTCACGGTTTCTTGCTTTGCAAGTTATAACTCAGGATTTTTCTCTGACGGGAATCTTGCGACTCTTATACGTTATGCTTTGCATTCATGTGATTTTATGTATCTATGATTTTCAACGCTATTCTACCCTATAGCATTCGGGTCTTTTCGGTTATACCCTCTAAATGTTAAAAAAAAATTTAAAAAAATTTTTTTTACAAAGTTTGACTGATTTTCCTGAAAAATGCAGGGCTGATATCCCTAGCGTTGAATCAAGCTAGAAACTGGCAAAAAAATGCGAACTTAACGACAATTTAAAACGCATTTAGCATCCTTGTAATGAAATTTATGCTCAGAAAAATGCCGAAATTTGGAGAAAAAAGTCAGTTTGAGGCTCATAAGTTAAAATGGTTCGTTTTTACCAGTCCCATATAGTGCATTTCCTAGTAACAACGTCCCAATTATGTGCTTTTTTTTTCATTTTTCATAATTTAGGGGGGTATAACCAAAAAGACCTTAGAATTCTACCTTTTACTGTTCTACCCTACATTCCCATCTACCTTATGCCATTTTACCTGTGGCCATTCTAACCTACAATTAAAATAACTAAAACCTTATCCCATCTCTTTGGAGGGTCCAAAACAGAGTCAATACGAATATAGAGATCAACGAACCAATGAATTTGAACACAGATTTTTGGACGCGTGTGAGTAAAATTCCAAAGCAATATAAAAATTGCTTGTTTAAAATCGAAATGCACCAACACTGATCATTGATTAAACAAACCACACAGAATTGACGTGCCAGTTTAGCAAAAAAATGGTAGAATAGTCAAAATTAACTACTTCGAGTTTTCAGAGGTGAACGAAGCTGCGATTGAGGAGCTCGTGCACACTAAGACAGATCTGGAACAGAAGGGCAAACAGCTGCTAGAGGAGAAGAAAAGTCTGGAGACTAAGAAGGTAGAACTGGAGGAGAGTCTGGTGTCCCAACATGACCAGATCGAGAATCTCAATTCCGAAAAGGTATACATAGGAGGCTCCTATCTAAATTCACTTCCGAAATTTTATACTACATATTTTTGTGCTGATCATTCCCCAATTTGTACATGCAAGACTGGTTCAGCAAGCATCATGAGTTTTTAACCTCTTCCTTTAAAACGTCCAGACGTTGATGATTTCTTGAATGTTAGTAACATAATATTTGAATGTCAGTTAATTACTTGCATGTAGGAGAAAAACGCGATCTAGTTCAAATTGTATGATTCCTTTTCATCATCGTAGCAGAAAACATGGAAAGTTATCATTCATGCAAGACAGTGAACTACTTCAAAATTTCTTGATGTCAAATAGATTTACCTGCCAAATTTTAAGTAATTTCAGACGGTGAATGTTCGAAGATAGATAACGTTCAGCTGGTCGACCTTTTTGCTCTGATTTGTATTATGTCACCTTTTGTCATCGTCACTTAATTGTTACTCTAAATAGTCTGTTTTATCTCTCGTTGTGCAGTGAATAATTATGCTGTACTGTACTTTCAACACCGTATCGAATGAATTGAATAATTTTTAGGATGTACTCATGGGAGAACTCGTGCAGCCGGGAAGCCAACGTTTGACCGAGGGATTGTTCAAACAAATATCTGAAAAATTGATTCGAATGGGTAGAGATCCAGAATCTCTGCTTGACAAGAGCAATAAGAAACTTCCGTCAGGTGGACTAATTGACGTTCCCAAGGTATGCAAACACAGATCTGGATTATCATTGAACTTTTTCTCGCTGTCCGATGAAAAAGACAAAGGTCGTTTTTCAACCTCTTAGATTAATTTTTCCCGAAAATTCCTTCTGTGCTCTTGTCAATTTGTATCGTTTTATGGAAACAGGAACAAAAATTTGAGATATGTAAGTCTCAAAATGGATTATAATACCCACTTAAGCAAAATTATTCAGCAAAAATGATTCAAAGTTCTGAAATTAATTTTTGCCGCTGTGAATTTTTATTATACTAATTTTGCTGTTGAAATTGCGCCGAATTTTTGGGCCATGCGAGTTGTAAGAAAAATAATTAAAACAAAAAAGCAAAAAATTTTTTTGATTTTTCATAAGAACTTTCTTGTTGCAATTTTTTTATTAGTAAGAGGAAATCAAAGTAATTAACGAGTCATAAGAACCAGGTAACAATAGATGAAAATTTGAAAAAAATCACAGATAATAATTAGAAATCAGTCTGAAAAATCACATTAGAACGGCTGAAAGAGCTTCAATTTGATACCTAACTTGACTCGCTTGAAGTCTTCTTGGAGGTAGTAAAAATTGGCTGGATAAAAAACAGACGCTACACCATAATTTTTCGCACTTCGTGACTGGAAGTGTTCGGAAGAAAACAGATTCTTTATCAATTTCATTTTTTCTCTAAATATCAACGTTTTGCAGGTCTCATTCTTTGAATTCATTATATATGAGAGCAGCTGTGGACCGACCTAAGAATTTTTCGAGGGAGAATTTTAGAGAAATTTGTTCAATTTTTCCATATGGATTAAGTTGTTTTTCCCAGCTCTCCGAAAATACTATAAAGTGCCCATTTTGCCACAATTTTCTACGCGGCTGGCAAATATTTGAATAAAAAATGCCAAAAATGACGTTTTAGGGAAGTTCTTGAATAATTTGACCAAGCAGTTTTTTTGGAACGTATTCGCCGCTGCCTCTCATTTTTGTTTATCAAATAGGTGTCGTAAAGATGTACCAAAGGGGACCTTTTGGGTGGTTTGAGGGTCGAATTCAAAAACGAACTATTTGTAAACCAAAGTTTTTACAACGTTTTTTGTGTGCTTTAGACTAATTGTTAAGTGCCATGAACAAAATGAAGGCACGTGTTTAGTCCTTGTGTACTTTCATGTTTTTATGAAAAAGTTTCTTAAAATTTCTATGGTCAAAACTTTTTCTCGTTTTCTTTCAGTACTAATTGTCTAATTGTTTTAGTTCTTTCAAAGTTCCCTTAAAATATATTCGCCAAGTTGTAAAGCAATTTGTCGCATAAAAATTTGATTGACTTGAAGTTTCGAAAATAGAGTATATAATATTTAAATGAAACTAAAAAAAAAAGATTTTTTTTTGGTCAGTAATATCTATGGCTAGTTTCAGTTAATTGAAACTTTTCCAATTGTCTGTTGGCTATGTTTTAAATGTTAAAAATTGGGCAAAGAAGCTAATTTAAGAACTTTAGAAAACGTAGACAGTGAAAAAAGTGTCGTGCAAAAAATGTGCTCCACATATATTTTCACCCAGTGCTTGTGCTCTCAATGATTTTTTACTTTTACGACTAACAAGGGTATTCCAAATGGGCACTAGACTTTTCTCCCGTTAGTAACTTTGCTTACAGGATTACTCAAATTGGTGGTCATCTCAATCTGTGTTTTTGTCAACTAAAAGATTTGTTTTGAGCATGTTTGCATTTTAACTGCCCGTACTATTCGAAATATGTTTTCTACGTTGTTTGTTAATACACCAACTCCAATTTCAGTTGTTTCAGTTTTTTGAGGCAAGCATGTGTCTGATCAAAAGTTTGTGAGTTGTTAATGCTTTGCAAGTTTTTTCGAGGTTAGTTCAAAATTCAATTGTTTTTTTTTGCAAATTTTCTTGAAATAATTTCTTAAAAACAAAACCAAGACAAAGATATGAAAATTTTGATAGATCCTTTCTTGACGTCTATTCAAAAAAGTTTTCTGTGGCTTTCATCTCTATTTCTGTCAATAAATTGTAGTTTTGTGTTGTATCGCTTTTTGTGCGAAGCTTTGCGTTGCTCTGTGTTCAATATACGGACAGGTACCACAAAGACGCGTCATAATATATACATAATTGATACATCATAGTGAAGTCCTTTTATCTGTGCTTCGAGTGATTTTTTGTTCAATTTGAAAACTTTATCGAAGTGCCGAGATGAGTTTTTCTAAAAAAAAAATTGGTAATAATAATTGGAATAGTAATTGATTGGTAGTTATAGTAATAGTTGTTGGTAATAATATTTGGTAGTTGTAATTCGAATAATAAAATGGTTTTCTGACCAGCTTATAGCGAAAAGGTTGAAGTTGATAAGTACGCCAGAAGAGACCGAAAATTTGTTTTATAGATTGATATATTTGTTGCCAAAACGTGCTGTAAATTAGGTCTGAAGATGCTGTACTTTGTTTTGCAGGAGTTAGCAGAACTCAGAGCAGCAGTTGGCCTTATGGGAGATATATCAGCAGAAGATATTCAGAATTTCGCAAAGATTCATGGAAACTTGAAACCCGGACAACTTGAACAACTTTTGAGAATTCAGGAACAAAGTCCTGACTTACTAGAGAAAACACTGTTGAAACTTGATAATGATAAAAAGTCCAGAAAATTAAGTTTGGAAGATTTAGTCAAAGAAGGAGTGCTCTCAGAATCAGATTTAGAACATATAAAGAGCATCGCTCATGAGGAGACCGAACAAATTCTCTCCTCGTTGCATGGACAGCCAGAACAGATGCAAACTTTGGCCAAACTTTGTCGAGAATTTCCAGAACAAATGGCTGAGTTGGATCCAAAACAGTTACATGCCTTTGCTGAGATGTCAAGTGATGGAAATTCATTGATTCAAAAGCTTCTAGAACTTTCCAGGCAGGGCAAAAACGCATTAGATGAGTTACTTAGGAATAAAAAGATCAGCGTGGAGGCAAGAAACAAAATTGGAGAGCTTGCTAAGGTCTTGAGTCCTACAGAAGCTGCAGCTCTGGCAGAATATCAGAAAAATTTAAACAAAGATGACTTTGAAAAACTTGTCGATCTATGCTACACAAATACGGAACAGATGCGCCGCATTTTGGCAAATCCAGAAACTACACCGGAGTTCATAGAAACTCTTCTAGATGCCAGTTCAACTATAGCTCCAGAGCTATTGTCTCCACTATTGGACCAAGTTTGCAAAATGGGAGTCAAAAAGGCGGAAATTTTACTGGCTCAATTACCTGTAGAAAGTGACGAAGCTAACTCGAACTCAGATACAAGAAAACTGGCCTTAGAAAACTTCCAATCACTTTTAGCTGTAAGTGAGAATTTGCCAAATCAGAGCCAAAAAGATAAACTTATAGAATTACAGAAGACACTGTCGCCAGAAGCGTTCAAAAAGCTAATGCAATTCGCAGAGCGGAATCCATCTAAGTTCCAAGAACTACTTTCAAAAGAATATATAAACCCAGACACACTAGAAAAACTGCTAGAAAAGTCGGATGATCTTGATTCGGAAACTTTGGATCAACTACTGAACATATACAGCGATGTCGACGAAGAAATATTTGACAATTTATTGGCAGCCGTTGAAGCCGACCCAGAGGCAGTTAAGAATCTTCTGGCTACAATTGGAACCACTGGACTGTCACCAAATAGTTCAAATCTACTCAGCGAAAATTTATCTAAAATTTTATCAGGGATGTCAATTATGCCAGAACAACAACATGCTGTTCAATCAGGGTTGAGCGACGGATTTTTTCCAAATAACGGGTTCCAGATTGACACTAGCCAACCTTTTTCAACTATGACGTCCAAAGTATCCGAGAAGTACGTCGAAGATTCTGATATGGACGATGAGATAAAATCGCTTTTACAGGTCGTCAGCTCCCATGTGACTCCTAAACAATTCGACTCTCTTCTAGAACTGCAAAAGAAAATGAATCCCGAAGACTTTAAAAGTTTACTGAAACTCCTGCTCGAAAGCCCGCAAGATGGCGCCCAGTTGTTGTCCAACTTGGACTACGATAGTGATGAGGTGAAGAAAGTGCTTGGAACTGTGAAAGGTCTCAGCTCAGACCAGCGTCAACAGCTATTAGAAGATCTCGCAAAATGTGATGAAGAAAAGGTTCAAGTATTACTTGAGGCACTTGATGATATAAATACTGAAAATATCAGCAAACTTGTAGACTTGGAGTTAGAAAGTACATTGGCTCTACCTGATCTTCAGAAAAACCTTCTGGCGTCGCCTATTGCTCTTGAAAATCTTTCAAAGTTAGACCCACAATCATCCGATAAGTTGCTTCAGCTCAACAGAGAAAGTCCTGCTTTGGTTGAGAAAGTTCTAGAAGGCGGAAGTGTTGATGCTGAGCAGATTGAAAGACTTCTTGAGATGAAAAACAATTTGACACCTGACCAGTTTGCTCAATTTGTGAACATTTCTGAACAATTTACCCCTGAAGAAATTCTGGATTTCGTCAACTTGAGCGAACAAGCGCCGGACCAGTTCATGTCACTGGTATCTCCAGGAGCGGAAGACAAGCGGAAAAGCATTTCAGGGACCCTTAGTGAAATGGTTGCTGAAAATGTAGCAAATCGAGCACAAGGCCTGGAATTGGACGATCAAAGCAGCGGCAATTTGGTCGTTTTTAGCCAAGAAGCAACTCCAAAAGAAATGGACAAGTTTTTGTCTCTGAAAGCAATTTTGAATGATAAGCCAGATGATTTTATCCAGTTAACAGCCTGGGCCGGGGAGGATCCAGAAAATTTTAAGATGTTTCTGGCTGCAGACAACTTGGATGCAGAAAATATAGCGCACATTCTAGAGCTAAAAGACGCTGTTTTGCCCGATGAGTTTAGAGATATGTTGAAACAATATGCAGGTAAAGAAGAATTAGAGAAAAATGAGCCTGCAAAAACCATTCCAGAAAGTGTCGCAAAAGTTGTCCAAGAACGACTTAACGAAAACAAATCCGATTTAGCGCCAGAATTTGTTACTAAATTAGAACAAACATGTGTCAATCTCCCTTCCAGAGACGCCGAGAAACTTCTGAGTCTGCAAAAAGGACTAAGTCTGAAAGAATTTGAGGAATTGATAGACTTGGTGTCTGAAAACCCGATAAAAATGTCGCCATTTTTGAATTCGTCGAAGTGTAACGCAGAAAACACGAAACGTTTGGTTCAAGCTAGTGCCAACTTAAATGCACAAGAAACTGAGTCATTATTGAGGATGGGAGAGAATTGCACGCCTGAACAAGTTTTTGACGAGCTGAAAAAACTAGCGAAAGATACTAAGGCCTCAAAACTAAAACAAATTCTGAAAACTGCTGATTGCTGCGAGCCTGAAAATTCAGGAAATGTTATGCAACTTTGTTCGTCGCTTAGTCTCGAACAGGCTACTCAACTTGGCAAGCTCGCTGAAACGAATCCTGAAACAGTAAAAACGATGCTAGCTAAGAGTTCTTTAGACGCCAAAACCCTTGGTCACTTCCTTAAACTTCAGCCTGCGTTGGAAGGCGAAGAATTTAACGAATTGGCGCAAATTTCTGCGTCGACAGATTCAAAAACATTTGACAAGTTCCTTTCGAGCTTCGAACAAAATCCAGAAGTTTTCCGAGCTCTTATTGAGGAAAAAAGTGAGATTTCTAATCAAATGAAAGATTTGCTATCTCTTCCTAAAAATGGAAAGCCTAAACCAGATATGTTTCTGGAAAAACTGGGCAAACTAGCAGAAAAAGTATCCGGTCAAATTGACACTAATGAGAAAACAAAACAGCAAATTAGGTGCATTGTGCAAGAAGCACCACCGGAGTGCACTAATAAGCTTCTGGCAATGCAAAGTGAATTGAAAAAGGCAGATTTTGAAAAATTAATTGAAGTTTGTGCACTGGAGCCTAGCATATTGTCATCGTTCGGAGACGATCAAAAAACTTTTTCATTATGTGCTAAAGAAACGATTAAGCTATTTGGTGACGTAAAACCGAACAATGTTCAGCAGTTTGCAAAATTGGTGTCTCATTTGCAACCAGAAGAAGCGACGTCGATGATGGAAAAATTTGCAGGGCTTAAGAGCAAAAAAGCACGAGGAGCTGCTACTTCCAACTTGAACATGTGCCTTGAGGCAAGTACTGAGATGCCATTAGAAACATCAAAGACTCTCTCAGTCCTAAGCTGCGAACTTGAACCGGTTGAGTACTCGGAGCTTATTGAATGTCTGAAAGAGGAACCAAAAATGGCTGAATGTCTGAAGCAAACGACGCAAGGCAAGAAAATTGAAGACTTGATTCATTTGAAAGCAGACTTGGATATAAGTCCAAAAGAATTGAGTAAAGTTTGTGACCTTTTCAATTACCTCGACAAGAATAATTTTGCTTCCCTGGTAGAAGTATGTGGCCAAAATTCGACCGAAATTCAAGACATTCTTAACTCTAAAGGATATAACCTAGATCAAATGGTGGAAACTTTTTCGGATCCAGGTTTAAAAGGCAACCCGTTTGCAATCATGAAGACTCTTCGGAAAAAAATGGGCGACATCGGAACTGAGAAATCAACAAGCAAGGATGAGTCACTGGCAGAAGCTATGTCGAAAAAAGTGAACGAAAAGTTAGAATCGAAATCGGATTCTCTGGACCCCAAAACTGTGCAGGATATCAAAACGATCGCCACTAAAGTATCTCCTAAAGACTTAGACTATCTACTTGATCTTGAAAACAAAACTTCACCGGATATCTACACTGAACTTGTGAGTCTATGTGTGTCAAATCCAAGTCAGCTCATGAGTATTTTGAAAACTCACGAAGAGCCGCAAAGTTTTGCCAACGACCTGATTGGTCTAACTAACTCACTGGAGTCGGGTCAACAGAATAATTTAATGGAACTAGGGCAGCAAATAGGCGGGGAAAGTTTCGAAAAGTTAGTGGAATGTCTTAAAAGTGAAAAAGATCAGCAAGGGCTGAAAACGGAAACGGAAAGTGTCGAAAATATTCTAAGCTTGACGTCACTGGTGAACCAGCCTAAAAAAGACATTTTGATTGATCTCTACACAAAACTCGACCCTGAAAAGTTCCGAAAACTTGTGCAAGTAGGCCAAGAAAGCGAAAAGAACCTTTTCAATTGTTTACAAAAAGGAGATTCGGAATTGGACAATTTGAAACAATTGATTGACTTACATGATAAATTGAACTCAGTTGAGTTCGAAACAGCGACTGAATTATACTCCAAATTGGGTAAAGACGCGTTCAAAAAACTATTAGCCCAATATAAATTGAACCCAGAAACTGTTAAGGAAATACTGGTTTCAAAAGAAGACAACTCAGAAGTTTTGTCGCAAATTCTCGGCAAGAACTCAAAATTAACTGCAGCTCAACTGAAGAAACGTCTTGAAGAAGTAGCCAAAGGAGGTGAAAAAGATTCAACTAAACCAGTTGATAGTCTAAGAGGAGCAGTGATTGATGCCACGGAGAAAATAACAAAAGAAAAAGGACTGACCAAGAAAACTGCCGACAATCTCAAAGAAATAAGCTCAACGTTTTCTCCTGAGATCGTAGATAAAATATTTGAGATGAAAGATAGTTTAGCAACTGGGAAATTTGACCAATTTCTAGAAGCATGCAAATCTAATCCAGAAAAAATGGAATGTTATCTCAGGAGAACTAGCTGCAAACCAGAATCAGTCAGTGACCTTATGAGGCTTTTAGACAGAAGTGGATCTCAAAATTTGGCTGAAAACGTGATAGAAATTGTGACCAAAGCAGAAAACCCGAAAGAGTTCATAAATTTAATGAACGGAAAAACTTCAAAACTTTCACAACAAGAGAAGAAATTGCTGACTTCGATTTCAGCTGTTGAGGAAACTCAAAATCTTAATGATGCGATTGGACTTCTTTCTTCTTGCAGCACAGATGAGGTTTCGAAAATAACCTATAACCCAATAACTCTCAAAGAAACTTGCGAGTTAGTTGGCAGCGATAAAGAAAAGTTGAAAAATATGTTAGAACTAGAACAAATTGAGGCCGAGCAGTTAGTTAAGATTGCGAAAGAGAATCTTGGATTTAGCCAGAAACTCCTTCGAAAAGACTGGTTTGAACCAGAGGTCATCGGCGAAGTTGTCAACTTGCGAAAAGTTTTAACACCGGGTCAGTTTGACCGTCTGGTGAAAATGGCAGAAGAAGCCAGCTCAGTCGAAGACTTCAAAGAAGTTCTGGCCCTCAGAGAAGAATCACCCGAAGACTTCAGGAGTCTAATTATCACTGGCCCGGACGATCAAGCTCTCTTCGGAACAGACCAACCGGATAAGAGTTCGAAGGATACATTCACGGAATTAGCTGCGGAAAGATTGAACCAAATTGCTACGGAAACAGGACTGGAAGCAGGGTTAAGTGAAGATTTCACGAACTTAAGTTGCGAAGCGACAGCGGGAGATTTGGACAAACTCTGTTCTATGAAAGATGCCCTAGGTGAAAACAAATTTGCCAAGCTGGTGAATTTAGCAAGTGTATATTCGAAAGAAATTGCAAAAATACTTCACTGCCCGAAAACTAATGTCGATTCGATAGATGATTTGCTGGGAGTTGTTGACCTCTTGGACGGATCAGCACTTGAAAAATTGATGGCGACTGTTGACAAGGTCGATGATCCAGCTAAAATCAACCAGCTGATCGCGACCTTTTACACAAGTGACGATGATGAAAACAAGACTCCTGTTCTAGAAATTGTTGAATCGTTTTTAGACATTGTCGATTCTGCGAATACAAAACATGAAGCCAATTCGATCACGAATAGTCTGGCGGAATTATCGTTGGAATCTGTAGCTAACCTATTAGATATGCACCAAAACGAAGAGTTGGATCTAGCTAAAGCCTGTACTGTTTTAAAAGAGCCCGACACTCTTGAAAATCTGATTAATTTGGAAACTGGTGTAGCATCAAAGATGGTTGCCCTTAGTGATCAGTTTAAAGAGCTTGGAAACAAAGTTCTCCAAGATAAAAATTTCACTCCAGAAATAGTCAAAAGTTTGATTGAGGCACAAGGTGATTTGGAACGGAATGAGTTTGAAATTTTAGCCAAAAAATTGCAAGTCGAGCCTGTAACGGAGATCGCTAGAATTCTGCAGCTACGATATGACGCCCCTAAAGAATTCAGCAAGCTTTTGACTTTCGGAAATACACCTGAAACGCACGTATCATTTACGGAAACTACGCAACAAAAATTGGATGGATTTGCAGCTGATTCAGGCGTTGATCCTTCCAAATTTGACGGGATTGAAAGTTTTGCAACACCTGCCGATCTCGACAAGTTGACTCAGCTCAAAGAAAATCTAGATCAAGAAACTTTTCAGAAATTCGCTGATTTGTGTCAAGATTTTCCAGAGGAAACAGCTCATATTTTGCATGGAACTGAAGATACCACGCCTGATTTTGTAGAAGATCTGCTTCATGTGCTGGGCGGGCAAAATGATCATCAAAAGGGTTCTATAATGCGAGCAATGGGGAGTTGTGAGTCCCAGAAGCTGTTGCAAGTAATCTCTAAATTAGACCCACCTCAAGGCATCGGAAGTTCCAGAAAAGAGCCTAAGAAGAACTTGGCAGTTGCTCTTTCAGATGGTCTATATGTTGCAGATAGTAAAAAAGAAACCGCAGCTGCTTTAAACGCTCTTCAGAAAATCGGAAGTTCAACTATTGCTGATTTGGTATCTTTTGCAACAAACAATAAACTGCCTCTCTCGAAAATGATTTCTAAATTTGGCAATGAAAAATCACTGAAAACATTACAAACTGTGAATCCAATTGACGTTACAGATATGTTAAAATTACATGACCAAAATGAGACATTCGCGAGAAAAGTTGTGGAAAACGAAAGTGTCTCTAACGGAATCGTCCAGGAAGTTTTGCGATTGCAGCAAAGTTTGCCGCCTTCCGATTTTGATGAGTTTATGACATCAACTCAGAATATGCCAGCAGCTGATATGAAATATGCTTTAGCTCTCAAAAACACTTCGACTCAGGCTAAAATTAGCGCCAATAAATTCAAAGATTTAAGTCCTGATCAAATAAAAGCTCTGGAACTTCTATCTGATGATGGAAATAGGATGGAAGAGCTAGCTGAGATGCAACAAAACAATCATGAGCTGTTACTACAAATGTTGGCGTTGATGAAAACTATGCCTGAGAAAGACCTCGAGGCGTTCCGGGAACTTATTTTGGAAAACCCGGAATTGTTACAAAAAATTTTAAAGCTGAGCGAATCGGCTCCGGGTGGAAACTTGGCAGATCTTTTGGATGATCTTCGAGTCAAAAATAAAATTACCACCAAAGATAGAAAAAGTGAAACTAGTAAGCCCAAAATTGCACGTGGCATAGACAAACCAGATGGAAAAAGGACCTCAAGTAAAGGTACGCAAGGGATTATTCAAGAAGAGGATTTGTTTTTCGAGGATCCGAGAGGCGATGATAGACATCAGTTGGAAAGTGGTCCAGGAGGAGGTCTGGATCTGGACGGTCTGGCAATGCAGGAATTAGAAAGGGAAAACGAGGAGTTGAAAGCTGAGTTGGAACAATTTAAAAAAAGCAGATCAGTGGTTTTACGAGCAGGTAGAGACAAAGAAGACTCTGCTAAACAGGTATTTAAACATCTAGAAGTTTTTATTGCATCGATTTTTTTTTGATAGTCTTGGTTTGCGTTGATTTCTCCAGAAACGTTAATAGATATCCTACTTTTCTTTTCAAATGACTTGCTGGGAAAAATGATTTAAAAAAGCCATTACCATTTAATGAATCGATGCTTCATTTTAAATACGATAAGATTCTTGTTATATATCTTTTTGGAATTGCCAAGTGAATAATGTTTTTAATTTGTTTTTTTTTTACTAGGGGATGACTGCCATATCTTAAAAGCGTGAAATTTTTGAATTTATCCAATTAGGGCTGTAAAATGTACATGTTTTGTCCACAATTTCGCATTTAATGAAATAATAATAATAAATTAGTTTCCAAGGAAACTAATTTGCTTTTGTCTATTCTTATAATATCTGCTTTGTGGACACAAAAAATATGTGCAATTACGATCAATTGATATAAAACGAACACATGCGCTGTTCAGTTTTAGGTGTGCACGGCAAACTGCTTTTATCATTTTGATCAAGATGTACTCGCATTTTGGTTACTTTTTTCTACTTCAGCATGATGATGATCTGATGAAAGAGAAGATGATGCTTGAGAAACAGTTGACGAAGGTGGAACATAAGTTAGAGTTGGAGCAGAAGAACAACCAACTGATGTCCAAGGCACTACAGAAGGTGGAGAGAGGGGCCAAGGAAAACAGGGAGTTGAAGGTACATACATAATGTTATTTTGGTTCCGACCGCTGAAAAAGGGGAGGTACTTTGTCTTTGGGTGTCTTTTACTACTACTGTCGAAATTGAGCTCCTATTCATGAATGCGATGATGTATATGCCGAATGTATTGTTGGTAAAAGTTAACAAAAATAGGAGCATGTGAACAAAAAATATATTTATCCCTAATGACATATCTTGTTTTAATGTATACTTTGCCCACTGATAACAACTATACATACCAACTAAATTTTAGGTAGATTATCATTAACATTGATCTCAATAAAATCTTCATAACAAATCTATTGCCTTGCACAGATCCACAACAATCATACCTTGTGTCATTCAGTCCAATGTCAAATTTATTTAATTTCCTTTTATGCAGTCGACTTTTTAAAAAGTTAGGATGGTAATTTTAGTATAGAATGATTAAAACATCAAAAAAGTGTCAAAACGATTTAAGTTTTGTTGCCATTACTTAATTTCATTTGAGAGACAACAAAGTCTTCCGCCCAGTTCTCTCAAATAGTTCAAATGAATAGTTTCATCAAAAACAATTCTGTTTTCAGGCTAAGGTGGACGAATTGCTAGAGAAAGAAGCTAAAGTTGATCAGTTACAGGTAAAACAACACGTGCAACTTTGCTCCTAAAAACTAACGAAAAACAAACAAGCCGAGAACGTTTTTGTACATTTAATGATTGTATCCAGCTAGAAAAATGAATTTGTATTATTAGCAGTGAAATTCTATTTGAACATTTCTTGGATTTTTTTTAGTTTAAAAAGAGGTTACGGGTGGCAGTGTGCTTGTTGTTAATTCAATCAAGAAAATGTTGAATGTAGTACCAGTACAATGTTCAGCGTTCAATCTTGCGGATTCGAACGCTCTACTTCTGCTCCATGCCCCCCCAGCCGCGATTTAGTCTGAAAACGGTGATGTGCATAAAAGCTTTTCTCGAACCTGCAAGTTTTTTTTGTAAATAAATTATCGAAATATAAAGCATGACTCAACGAGCTTGATATAATAACTCACTAAATACCATACGAGCATTATTTCAGGTAGTACCTGACGGTGCGTAGAAAAACGGCTCATTCCCTTTTCGTGAGACAAAACATGAAAATATAGGGTGCATATATACAAAACAGTTACATACACAACAGTACAATTCAAAACAGTCCAAAAATCATGAAATGAAAAACAAAGGTTTCGATACAAAACAGTCTGGTTGAAAATCGCCGGTGAAAGCTCCGCAACCCTTCCCCTCAAAGACAAATACTCAAAAAAAATTATTGTTTCTTTTATTTTGTTTTGATAAGATATATTGGTCAGAACTTTCTGTGCTAGCAGTTTATCAAACGGCTATCTTTTTGAAATTGATAGCCAGTTGATATTCCATTCGAGGCGTTTTTCGTTATTTTCGCATTTTTTCTGATAATGTTTGCGAAGTGTACAATAGTAGAACCCAAATGGTCGATATCTGGTCTGGTTTTTACAGGAGCGTATTGTGGAGCTGGAAAGCATGCCACAAACAGATCCGGAGTTACGTCGCCAGCTGGACAAGATGTTCTGGATGAACAAAGAGTTGTTGAGACAAATCAACGAGAGAGATTTTCAGACCTCCAAATTGAAAGAGGAGTTCCGAGAACTGCAACATGAGGACATGGAGAAAGATAAGAAGTTGGACGATATCATGAGTCATCGGGCTGAGTTTCTGAAGGAAGAAGAACAGAGGTGAGAGATGAAGTTTACCTTCAGAAAAAAAAGATGACACTCAAGGCACAGCCGAAGCGGAGCTTCGCGCTACTTGCGAAGCTCCGCTTTAGATAAATCTTATGGTTCATTTATCAGGAATATACATTCATCGTTTTTTATACCAGGTAATAAAATGAATCTTTGTTGAAAAATCCGCGTCCAAAAATTCATTCAAATATGTTTTTTGTAAATTTTATTAAAATCAGTTTCAATAAATCATTGGCAGTGTTCGAATTACCAAAAATGTATAATGGTTTTACAGCAAAAATTTCCAAATATGCCAAAAACCTTTCCAAAAATTAATGAAAATAGAGAAGGATCTAGGATTTTCCTGAAAAAAAGGGCCAATTTTCAAAAAATTTAAAAAAAAACAGACCAAAAGGGCTGTTTTTGCAAGGTTATAACAATAAAATTACGTTTTTTGGCGCGCGCTCTCCCTCAAAACTATTTGTCGGCCAAAAATGATGTCGTAGAATAGCACCAAAGGGGAGAGATCGAATTCCTAAAGGGAAAATGGCGTCCGCTCCCCACAGTTCCCATAGATCTGTCCTTGCAGGGCATCAATGAAATGCTATCCAGTTCTTTTCTGTGATTTGCCAACATTCTAGACTGAGTTTTTGAGTCATAACTTAGATGTCATTTTGCTGGATTGAACTATGCGCGCTTCTATCAATTTATCTATGATGCTTAACTCGTAAGCGCGACTAATATAAGCGCAACGATTCAATGCTAATGCTGCCGGTGCATTTATAAAACAGTCCTTTACAACACATCCAATACAAAAAAGTCCAAAATTATGAAATGAGAAAAAAGGTCCGATAGAAAACAGTCCGGTTTAAGGTCGCCGGTGGGCTGTGCACATACAAAACCAAAATTGTCTTGAATAAAACCACCCGCGGAAAATGGAATTTTCAAAACTTTAATCAAAACTTTCAAACTATTACTACAAGCAATTTGCAGAAAATCTAAACCTCAAAATTTTTTTGAAATCAATCCAATACATCTTTTACAGCGTAAATGAAGTTCACACGAAAAGGTAGGAAAGCAGATTTTAGCCATAGACGAAAAAACGATACCGTTCAAAAAAATTTTTATTTTAATTTTGAACAGAAAACACTGTTGAATCAAATTTGAAATACAGTTTTAGTTGCTAAAAGACTACCATTATTAATGCTGAGGATCAGAAAAAGACTCTTCTAAAGGCTTTCCATTTTTTAGGTCGATCAGATTGATTTTGCGAGCTCCAACAAATCAGAACAAAGAACCTATATTGACCAAATCTGCTAAATAGCTCCAAAAGGGGGACCCTTGGGTGGTCATAAGGCTGACCCCCTGAAAACAAGCGTCACCACCCCCACCCTTAAATGCGCTACTGTTGAAGTTGACTACCAGATTCAGTTATCCTGTAACCAGGATTCTTTACCCGGAAAAAGTCAACTACTGGTTGCAACTTGAGCAACATTATTTTGCAGCAAAATGTGTTGGCTAAAGGACAAATACAGTCGTTCCACCGTTAGAAAATGTCAGGGTCAGGGACTGTATATAAAACTATCATAAATCATATCTTCATCTTAGGTAGTTTTGTCTAAATGTCTAAAATCTTGATTGCTAGATGTCTTGAGTTCTGTTGTGAATGTATTATCAAAGTGAAAACCAGCAAAACACTTGTCCTTTTTGTTTTCTAGTACTGAAAATCGGGAACTGTTACGTAGCACCGAGATTGAGAGACTTCGAGAAGAAATTGCGTATTTGAATAAAATCTTAGCACAGAAACCACAACCGGCGGAAATGTCAAATCACGACGACAGAGCATCTTCTGTCAATGAAGATGAACAAAGCACGAAGGAATCCCATAAAGAAGAGTTAAAGGTAATTTGAAAAAAAATCAGCTAATTCTGATAAAATTCCACTTTTTTGAACACAAAACGTGAAAAAGGATGTTCTAAATTCCCTGCGGTCAGCCTGTTAAACTGAAGATCTAGTATGTCTCTCTGATCTGCGCGGGATTCCTAAAAATCATAATATCATGAACTATTTCCCGACTGTTCGTTAATCATTTTTTTTACTGTTTATTTATGATTTCTGTTGAGCCAGAATTATTAAACCTCCTCCCGGGAGAATCTATAATATTCAGGTTACTAGCAGGAAGAACCATAATACAGTGACCAAAAATAAACCCGGCCCTCTTTTTCTAAGACATGCTTAAATTGATCCACCGAGACGGGTTTTATTTTTCTGGCTAAACCGTCCTCATATTGATGAACTTCTGTATGATAAGATTAAGCTTATAGATTGAAGTTGTTTTGTCGAGGAAATGATAAATGAGCAGTCGGTAAATGGTTAATGGTATTGCAGTTTTTAGAAATCCCGTGAGGATCTGAGAAAATTACTAAATCTTCAGCGTTCAAGGTTGACTGTGGTTAATCGCCCTGCTGAGTATTTTTTGTTCATTCATATATCGCACCCATCTTGTACACAACCTCTCGTCTTAAAACTTTTAAAGTTAGGTTATTGTGGATAATTAAACTATTTGAGCTAGAGACAGAAAAATCATTAACTCACTAAATGAGAGAGAAGGTAACATTACGTAAAATAAAACACAGAGGTAAAGCTGAGCTTCGCACCACTTGTGATACAACAAGTATGGCATAAAAAAACATGACGCTGAAGAAGAAGCAAATATGTCTTCGAGCGAAGGAAAAATTGAAAAATCAACTAGAAAACAAAAGCTTAAAGGTTTTTCACGATTAAGTTTACTACATTTGAAGAGTCGTTGAATATAGCTCAGACTCTTATGTAGGTCTTGATGATTTTTTTCGTTTTTCAGGAAAAGTCTTCAAATTTATTCAGGCTCAAATTTACATTTTTTGCGGTTTGACTTTTGGTATCTTTTACAATTCAGTTCATTTCTTTTTTGAAAGGGAGGTTAACTCAACTATCGAACAGCGAAAGTGTAAAAATCATTCAAAAACTTGATCGACTTCTTATTTGATTAAAAACGAGAATAGAATTCAATTATCAGATTTCCCAGCGAAACAAAAGTTGTACATAATGAACCAGCTTTCTCTGATATGGTGGTTTTTATCAAAAAAGTGTCAATAATAAAATGTTTTGGAAAATCAAAGCTATAAGGCCATTTATCGTTTTTTTTTTATTCGAAAGTTGAGATTTTTTTAAAATCAAAGGTGAGATTTTTTTTTGCGGGAATTTGAGCGTTCAAAAAAGTAGAACCAGACTCTGATTGATGTTATAATAAAAGCTGGAATTTGTGGGGAAAAAATATTAGGTAGAAAATTGACAATGTTTAACCGACGGCTATTAAGATAAAAAATCATCTGAGATCTACTGCCCACATAGAGTCGACGAGTGGCTTATATGTGAAGGCAAGGTTGTATACCCCAATCAGAAACTAAACTGAACCGTAGAGCTTAAGTCGAAAACTATAAAGCAGACAACTTCGATACAAGACAGTCATCATTTTCGTATTTTGTATCAGTTGTTTTAGAAAAAAATCATTTTTTAAATAACCTACCAAGAAGACAACCGAACTTAAAATTCGCGTCGAAACGAAAATTACATAGCACTGAAAAGCCGACGTTGCTGATTGCTGAAATATTACTCGCAGTGCGTAATGATTTCGTGCTCAAAACTGAGAAACAATTAATGTTCGAAAAAATTGTTTTTCAAAGCAACAAAATTTGCGCGAAATAACTTTCACTCAAATATTTACACTAACGCATTCGGAAAACGGAAAATTAACAGTTCATTCTTCAAAATTAGTCCGTGCAAAAAAACAGCCGGTATTGTAAAGAGACACAATGAGCTACAAAGCTTAGTGGGTTAGATTTTATTACATGGAACCGAAGTGGAGCTTTGCACCATTTGCGATATAACACAAACATTAAAAAATTTAAGTCGGAAAAAGAAAAATGTTGAAAAAACTATTTAAACCTAAATCTTTGTGTGTCTCGATAAAGGATAACAAGGGGTCTAGCTAAAGTTCGAGGTACCTGTTTGATTTTTGAAATTGTTATACTGATGCGTGTTGAAATGTTTATTTTTAGAAGTTGACCTGACACAAAATTTTAACGAAATTATTTGAGAGACAGGAATTTTCCCATGAAATGCAAGTTTTCTGAAAAAAACTAAGAAGTCATCACTACTGCAGAAACATTTTTCGCTCTTGGTTCTTTGGGTTGAATCCTTCATCTTTGATAGTGTTTCTTTTAACAAAAGTCAATATCGTGCCAAATAAGACAACTCTACTTTAAGTTTGCATCGAAACAAAACCTAAATTGTGATAACAGGCCGACAATGCTACTTGTTAAAATAACAATTATATGCGTAAATATTACGTGCCCAATAATTGCCAACGCAAAACTATTCAAAAAAAAGTTTTTCAATTCATTAAAATTTCTGCATAATTTTAACTCCATTAATTGCATCAAAGACATTCAAAAAGTTAGATAAAAAGCTAGCTACATTTTCAAAAAAGCTCCGTGCAAGATATGCTAAAACTCAAGAAATAAGAAGACTCGATAGCCCGAAAGGCAAAAAAACATGTTTCAAGCTTTTTAACTTCTATGCCATTTGAATAAAAAAACTAGCAGAACCCCAAACTTTTGTGTGTCTCGATAAATGACGGATAACAAGGGGTCCAGCTAAAGCTAGAGGTTTCTGTTTGATACTTGAATTCGTCATGCTGATGCGGGATGAAATGGTTAGTTTCATTAAGTCGAATTGGCCCAAAATCTTAGTTGTTTCTCTATTAAAATAAATGAAAACGAAAGTTTTCGAGAAATTGAAGTTTCCCATGACTTGAAAATTTTTTTCTGATAAGAATTAAGGATTCACCATTTCTGCAGAAAAACTTCTAGCAATTGTTTTCTCCTGTTGAAGTCTTCTTTGTTGGCAGTGTACTTTTTAAGGAAAAGCCGAACATTTTCTAAAACACTATCAAAAAAATCGAAAACTTGGTTTTCCAAACTGAGTTTCAAAACGTAGATTGTGGCTGCTGAAAACGTAGATTGCGGCTGCGATTCCCAAAACCAGGTTCTTGGGTTGAACACTTAAGCTAAGAATTAACAGCAAACTTTTTGAGAAAAGTCGAAAAATTTTCAAAAAACGGTCAAAGTTGAAACTTTTGACTTCTTTCAGGGCCATAATTTTTTTTCTAATCAAATTGAACTCAGCCAATTATACAGGTAGGCTTCCAATAACCTGTTATTGTAAAAAATCGTGATATTCGATTTGATTGGATTACTTTTCAGATGCGTCAAAAAGTTTCCGATATACGGTCAGCAAATCAAAAATTTGATTATTCCGAGTTTTTTGCATAAAAAAGTTTAAGGGTTGCATATTTTTTACAGAGATTTACACAACCTGTTTTTTTTCAATTGAACTAACAAACGCAGATTTGATGGGGTCGTTTGTGAGAATGTATAATTTTCCGAGGGCAATATATTTTTTGTTAAATTTTTTGGGGAGTGACTGATAATGCAGGGGAGATTTCATCATCCGTTATCATCATTGAACTCTCAAACTTGCTGTGGGGCGGGGGGTTGTCTCGAGAACAGTCTAAGAGCTCCGAATGCAGTGCGTAAAGCACAAGGAGACTGTGTGCTTATGCATTCAGACAGGTGAGCAGGCGGTCTTTCTAGTGGTACCCTTTTTTTTAAAAAATCGGTAAAGTAGTTTTTGAGAGCAACTTAAGTTTTTGTAAAAACTGAAAAAAATCTCGAGGGCGTCTCAAAAACATTTAAAAAAACAAACCCATACGTTTTCATAATACTTGTTTTTTTCAAACAGGAATTTCAGGCAAAATGCCAAGCAAGACTTTTGAATTGAAAATAACCAAAGGAACAGAACTAACGAAGCCGAAAAAAAAGCTGTTACTTTTTGAGCAGACACCAGTTGAGCCCACAAAAAAATGATTTTAAAACAAAGCTTTAAAATACTTCAAGTACTTTGATAAAAAACACTTGCAACCACCATGTTACTTGCTTAACGCTTAAGAAAAACCCGTGATATGGTACCTAAGCCGAAAAAAAACGAGCAGACAAACGAAATTCCGGCCATTCAAATTATACGGAAAAAATTTTAATGAAAAAAAAACAGGCCTTACCGGGACTCAAATTCCAGACGCAACCGCTTCTCTTCTAAGCCAATTGGAAAGGAAACTGGAGGTTTATTAAGATTCAAAATGAAGCAAGTTCAATTTCTTGTAAGAAAAGTTGTTAACCGAAAAAGTTTTCTTATTTAATTTTTCTAATATAATAAGGAGGGTTTAAGAAAGCGATTTAAGTTTTTCAAAAGTTTCTCGTTGGAGTCCAATCGTTAAGAAAACAACAAATATTAACAACAAAAAAAATTTGGAAAAAAGGCGACAGAATTGAAGTCGGCCGACCTCAGTGATAAAATCTACCAAATTTTGTGGAAAGTCTTGCTGTAATTAATAATAAAGAGCGCGTCTGTAGAAAGTGAAGCATGAGCTGGAAGAGTCGAAAAGAGCCAAAGAGATGCTGGAGGAGCACCAGAGACGGATCCAGAGTGAGATCAAACAGGCCAATGAGCACCTGCAGCAGGAACTGAAGTCCATCACTTCCTCTAGCTCACGCATGAAACAGGCACTCAAAGCGTAAGCAAATAGAAATTTGCAAAAATTTCAGACAGAGAAATGTCATTCCCAAGAACATTTGGCAATGTTTGCATGATGACAGTCAGATCAACTTGAAACTTAAAATCTACCTAATAAGTGAACATTTGCTCAACAGCTGCTAAAATAGGTCAGCTGATTGTTTTTATTAATTTTGTCTCCCGAAAATATTTGCCATTTTATTATAAACTTTATTTTAATAGTATTCACATTTTCCACTTCAAAAAAATAGTCTTACAACCATTGTTTAGAATTTGATATGCATGGGATTTCTAGATTTATAGTCAAGTTTTTGTTGTATTTAGCATGATTTTATGGTGGATGAAACACAAATAAACGAACTCAATGTTTTGGACTATGAAGCTACATCATAATTTTGTTAAACTGTTTTAACAGCAAAGAGCGTGACTTGGATTCGACCAAGAGTGAGCTGAAAGATAAAGACCACCAGAATCGCATCCTCAGCAAACGAATAGCCGAACTAGAAGTAAGATCATTGCTATATGAACTATTCATGGAAAATGTTTATGGCAAGTAACTTGTCAAAATATGCGAATTGGTTGCTAAACTACTTAAATCAATCGAAGGCATTTTGGGCAGTTTTTTAAAGTAAGTTATAAGTAGATGCGACTTTTTTCAATTTCGAGTTTGAATATAGGCCAAAAACCTGGTAGTCTAGGCTGGGCTTAATGAGATTGACGTGGCTTAGATGGAGCGGTTTTTAAATTTTTTTGTACGTTTGAATCGGTAGCGGATTTAGGGGGGTGGCGGACGCCCCGCCCCCTCACGGATTCGACCCTCTGCCGACCCAAAGTGTTCCCCCTTTGTACTATTTTGAGATATCCATTTTTGCCTGATTGACCTTAAAATTTTTCCAAAGGCGCCTTTGGCGTCAATCTATACTACTTATGAGGGGGGAGCGCGCGCCGAAAAAACGCGATTTTTTGGACATTTCTCAAAAAGTGCCTGAAAACGCCTTAAAAAAATGCCCTTAAAGTGCCTAAAAACGCGGCGCAGAAAATTTCGTCTGATGAGGGTCTTTATAGTTGTTTGGGAGAGCTCAGAAAATCAATTTGGTTGACCTAAAAAAAAGGTCGACCATATTTTCAAAACTTTTTTTAAGTGTGCCCTGTTCCGGCAGTAAAAACTCATTCAGATTGCTAACTGGGCAAAACAAACAAATTTGTTTTGTTTGCTATATAAAAAGGGATAGCTTAACAAGCAGGAATATCGGCAAAATACTTAAAATATGCGATGAACATTGGCCTGAACGCTGTCCAAAACGTTATTAGTTTGTTGTCTCGTCGCTTTCAAATTTTAAAGGTCTTTTCTCTCCAAAAAATCTAAAACCGAACGTTATATAAAGAGGATAGCTTAACAAGACGTGCTCACAAATTCTACAAAGCTTTTGCTAAGAGGAATAGCGGCAAATACTTAAAATATGCAATGAACATTGACCTAAACGCTGTCCAAAACGTTATTTGTTTGTTGTCTCGTCGCCTTCAAAAATATTTTTCTAAATGTGTTTTTGTTTCAGACTTATCTCTACGATTTTATGGAATTGTCGAAAAACGAGAAAGTTGTCTCGACGCCTCGAAAAGTAATTCCCAAAGAAACGAAGAAACCCAAAACTATACTTCAGTTTGGTCCAGAAATCCCTGACCCCCCTCAGAGTACAGAATCAGCTGCCATTATTCCCCCATCAAACGGGACTTATATAAGTCCACTTCGCAAACAACTGGACGAGCAAAGTCACAGATACGCAACAACGAAAGACTCGACTCATTAAGGATGCGAAACTATATTCTTTTTTATTTAAAGTTTTTCCACGTGTTTACGACTTAATCTTACTATCATTTATAAATTTACTACATAATAATAAAATTAAACCCAAATTAAATAATTTTATCTTTTTTTGCAGTCAGAAAACAACAAATTTACAGATGCATGTGAAAAAAGTCAAAGCTTAAGTGTTTTTCTTCTTTCCGACAAACGAAAGCCGTAAAGGTTTGACTGCAATCCATCGTCTATGAAATAGTTCTTGATATTAAACTTTCTTTTAAACTTTTAGTCTATGAAATAGTTATTGATATTAAACTTTCTTTTAAATTTTGCCCAAACGCTCGAATAAAATAAAATGACCAAATAGCTTGCCTCAATTCAATGAGATTGCTATCAGAGCCGGATTGAATCACCGCTATTTTGTTTTAAAATCTCGAAATATATCGAGCATTAAATATTCCAAATTGGACACCTTCAAACCCTACAACTGCATTCAATTTGAAAGAGAAATTTTTGCTTTGGGTTGGATTGATTTGTCCTCCAGGTACTTTGTTCACTCGGCATATATCAACAAGGATAGCCGGTTACTGTTCCGACCAAAATCTTAAAAAACCTGCAAGAAAAAAAGTTTTTTTTTTCATTTAGGTTCAGTTTTTTTTCTGCGTGGTGTGATAAAAAGATCTGACGTAAAACTATTATTTAGTCATACTCGACTGTCATAGTAAAATAGAGAAACAGGATGACAGATTTCGAGAAAATATACTAAAAAACCCAAAAAAAATCAATAAAAATTCCCAGAGTTTGATTCCCAAAAAAAACATTAAAAATCTCAAAAAATTAAGTTACAAGTAAAATTTGAATTAAGCGTAAAAAGCTAATTCAGAGTTTGATTCCCAAAAAACATTAAAAATCTCAAAGAATTAAATTACTCGAGTAAAATTTGAATTAAGCGTAAAAAATCTGATTAAAAAAAAACAGATTTTCTTTTAAATTCTGCCCAAACGCTCGAATAAAATAAAAGTGAACCATTTTTTATTCTCGGTAACGCAATATTGAGACCAAATAGCATGCCTCAATTCAATGAGATTGCTATCAGAGCCGGATTGAATCACCGCTATTTTGTTTTAAAATCTTGAAATATATCGAGCATTAAATATTCCAAATTGGACACCTTCAAACCCTACAACTTCACTCAATTTGATAGAGAAAATTTTGTTTCGGGTTGGATTGATTTGTCCTCCAGGTATTTTGTTCACTCGGTATATATCAACAAGGATAGCCGGTTACTGTTCCGACCAAAATCTTAAAAAACCTGCAAGAAAAAAATTTAGGTTTAGTTTTTCTCTGCGTGGTGTGATAAAAAGATCTGACGTAAAACTATTGTTTAATCATACTCGACTGTAATAGTAATATAGAGAAACAGGATAACAGATTTCGAGAAAAATTACTAAAAAACCCAAAAAAAAACAATAAAAATTCAGAGTTTGATTCCCAAAAATAACTTTAAAAATCTCAAAAAATTAAATTACTCGAGTAAAATTTGAATTAAGCGTAAAAAGCTACTGTAAACGGCCTAAATTAGGCCACAATAAGCGTGCTCGCTTGCTTTACTAGCCCAAAATCAGACGAATAAGAAAAAGTTTCAAACCAAGTTTTCTCGAAACAAGGAAAAAATTTTCAAAATTTTTAATGTCTTTCGAGTCTCGACAATAAGAGCTTCAATGATTATTTGTGGTCCCTATTTTTGCGTGGAAAATTAGAAGCGAAAAGAAAAAAAAAGAGAAAAAATTTAACACGGATAGCCGGTTACTGTGCAAGTAGAATTTCCGACCACATTCTTAAAACCAATAAAAAAATTAAACTTTTTTTTCACAAATTGGTTTCGTTTTTTTTCCGCATGTTGTGATATAAAAAAATCTGAACGAAAAATAGAATTTAGGCATCTTTGAGAGTCATAGTAAAACAAGTCAATTGGAAAACAGTTTTTGATTAAAAATCACAAGAAAAACGAGAAAAAAAAATTCGAAAAAATTTCAAAATTTTTTTTAAATTTCTTGCAATTTTTTTTTGAATTTTTAACTTTTTGATTCCCAAAATTGCGCTGGAAAACTCCTCAAACTACTTTTACTTGAATGAAACTAAGTTTTCACGGCTGAAATTAAGCATAAATAAGGCTATTGTAAGCATAAACGGTCACTTATTAAGTCGAAATTAGACCAAAAATCGAAAATTTAAAGCGGTTTTCTCAACATTGAAAGGATACTTTCAAAATTTTTAAATGTCGTTCAAATCATGACTGAAAAGGCTTTAACATGATATATCACTCAACTCAGTCCGATGAGTATTTGTGGTACCTGATTTTGTCCAAAAAATATAAAACACACCACAATACAAAGTTCCTCCCCATTTTCAATGGTCGAAACAAAAAAATATCAGAAGTGAATCAGGCTAATTGAAGTATCCAAACAAACAAAACCTGTCCAAAAATTACAACTTGAAAATGTCAACTTTGATGACAAAATTGAGCTGTAAATAATAATAGCAGACCCTTCATTAACACTAAATCCGCCAAAGAACATAAAACGAAGCATTTAAATAACTAGTGAAAACGTAGTTTGGGTCTTTTTCATTATGGCCCATTAGAAATAATTAAGACATAGCAATCATTTGATCAAAATTCCACAATTTAACATGTATACAGAGATGTCGCTGGGTTCCAGGAGCCTACAGTTTGGCCTCGTAATCTTGGATAAAATGGTGATATTTTCAAATATATGCAAATTTATGCGAACAGTTTGGCCTCGTAATCTTGGATAAACTGGTAAAATGGGGATATTTCCAAATTTAAACATGTTTTCATGTAGCTTTGTTAATTATGATGCTGGTGTGTTAATCCTATATGATTTCTTTTCGAAGAACCTCATTTTGCACACATTGTTTGCAATCTAAACAAGGATAGCTAGTTGCTGTGCAAGTAGCACAGAACCTTCCGACCACATTCATAAAAGACATTCAAAAAGTTAGATAAAAAGCTAGCTACATTTTCAAAAAAGCTCCGTGCAAGATATGCTAAAACTCAAGAAATAAGAAGACTCGATAGCCCGAAAGGCAAAAAAACATGTTTCAAGCTTTTTAACTTCTATGCCATTTGAATAAAAAAACTAGCAGAACCCCAAACTTTTGTGTGTCTCGATAAATGACGGATAACAAGGGGTCCAGCTAAAGCTAGAGGTTTCTGTTTGATACTTGAATTCGTCATGCTGATGCGGGATGAAATGGTTAGTTTCATTAAGTCGAATTGGCCCAAAATCTTAGTTGTTTCTCTATTAAAATAAATGAAAACGAAAGTTTTCGAGAAATTGAAGTTTCCCATGACTTGAAAATTTTTTTCTGATAAGAATTAAGGATTCACCATTTCTGCAGAAAAACTTCTAGCAATTGTTTTCTCCTGTTGAAGTCTTCTTTGTTGGCAGTGTACTTTTTAAGGAAAAGCCGAACATTTTCTAAAACACTATCAAAAAAATCGAAAACTTGGTTTTCCAAACTGAGTTTCAAAACGTAGATTGTGGCTGCTGAAAACGTAGATTGCGGCTGCGATTCCCAAAACCAGGTTCTTGGGTTGAACACTTAAGCTAAGAATTAACAGCAAACTTTTTGAGAAAAGTCGAAAAATTTTCAAAAAACGGTCAAAGTTGAAACTTTTGACTTCTTTCAGGGCCATAATTTTTTTCTAATCAAATTGAACTCAGCCAATTATACAGGTAGGCTTCCAATAACCTGTTATTGTAAAAAATCGTGATATTCGATTTGATTGGATTACTTTTCAGATGCGTCAAAAAGTTTCCGATATACGGTCAGCAAATCAAAAATTTGATTATTCCGAGTTTTTTGCATAAAAAAGTTTAAGGGTAGCATATTTTTTACAGAGATTTACACAACCTGTTTTTTTTCAATTGAACTAACAAACGCAGATTTGATGGGGTCGTTTGTGAGAATGTATAATTTTCCGAGGGCAATATATTTTTTGTTAAATTTTTTGGGGAGTGACTGATAATGCAGGGGAGATTTCATCATCCGTTATCATCATTGAACTCTCAAACTTGCTGTGGGGCGGGGGGTTGTCTCGAGAACAGTCTAAGAGCTCCGAATGCAGTGCGTAAAGCACAAGGAGACTGTGTGCTTATGCATTCAGACAGGTGAGCAGGCGGTCTTTCTAGTGGTACCCTTTTTTTTAAAAAATCGGTAAAGTAGTTTTTGAGAGCAACTTAAGTTTTTGTAAAAACTGAAAAAAATCTCGAGGGCGTCTCAAAAACATTTAAAAAAACAAACCCATACGTTTTCATAATACTTGTTTTTTTCAAACAGGAATTTCAGGCAAAATGCCAAGCAAGACTTTTGAATTGAAAATAACCAAAGGAACAGAACTAACGAAGCCGAAAAAAAAGCTGTTACTTTTTGAGCAGACACAAGTTGAGCCCACAAAAAAATGATTTTAAAACAAAGCTTTAAAATACTTCAAGTACTTTGATAAAAAACACTTGCAACCACCATGTTACTTGCTTAACGCTTAAGAAAAACCCGTGATATGGTACCTAAGCCGAAAAAAAACGAGCAGACAAACGAAATTCCGGCCATTCAAATTATACGGAAAAAATTTTAATGAAAAAAAAACAGGCCTTACCGGGACTCAAATTCCAGACGCAACCGCTTCTCTTCTAAGCCAATTGGAAAGGAAACTGGAGGTTTATTAAGATTCAAAATGAAGCAAGTTCAATTTCTTGTAAGAAAAGTTGTTAACCGAAAAAGTTTTCTTATTTAATTTTTCTAATATAATAAGGAGGGTTTAAGAAAGCGATTTAAGTTTTTCAAAAGTTTCTCGTTGGAGTCCAATCGTTAAGAAAACAACAAATATTAACAACAAAAAAAAATTGGAAAAAAGGCGACAGAATTGAAGTCGGCCGACCTCAGTGATAAAATCTACCAAATTTTGTGGAAAGTCTTGCTGTAATTAATAATAAAGAGCGCGTCTGTAGAAAGTGAAGCATGAGCTGGAAGAGTCGAAAAGAGCCAAAGAGATGCTGGAGGAGCACCAGAGACGGATCCAGAGTGAGATCAAACAGGCCAATGAGCACCTGCAGCAGGAACTGAAGTCCATCACTTCCTCTAGCTCACGCATGAAACAGGCACTCAAAGCGTAAGCAAATAGAAATTTGCAAAAATTTCAGACAGAGAAATGTCATTCCCAAGAACATTTGGCAATGTTTGCATGATGACAGTCAGATCAACTTGAAACTTAAAATCTACCTAATAAGTGAACATTTGCTCAACAGCTGCTAAAATAGGTCAGCTGATTGTTTTTATTAATTTTGTCTCCCGAAAATATTTGCCATTTTATTATAAACTTTATTTTAATAGTATTCACATTTTCCACTTCAAAAAAATAGTCTTACAACCATTGTTTAGAATTTGATATGCATGGGATTTCTAGATTTATAGTCAAGTTTTTGTTGTATTTAGCATGATTTTATGGTGGATGAAACACAAATAAACGAACTCAATGTTTTGGACTATGAAGCTACATCATAATTTTGTTAAACTGTTTTAACAGCAAAGAGCGTGACTTGGATTCGACCAAGAGTGAGCTGAAAGATAAAGACCACCAGAATCGCATCCTCAGCAAACGAATAGCCGAACTAGAAGTAAGATCATTGCTATATGAACTATTCATGGAAAATGTTTATGGCAAGTAACTTGTCAAAATATGCGAATTGGTTGCTAAACTACTTAAATCAATCGAAGGCATTTTGGGCAGTTTTTTAAAGTAAGTTATAAGTAGATGCGACTTTTTTCAATTTCGAGTTTGAATATAGGCCAAAAACCTGGTAGTCTAGGCTGGGCTTAATGAGATTGACGTGGCTTAGATGGAGCGGTTTTTAAATTTTTTTGTACGTTTGAATCGGTAGCGGATTTAGGGGGGTGGCGGACGCCCCGCCCCCTCACGGATTCGACCCTCTGCCGACCCAAAGTGTTCCCCCTTTGTACTATTTTGAGATATCCATTTTTGCCTGATTGACCTTAAAATTTTTCCAAAGGCGCCTTTGGCGTCAATCTATACTACTTATGAGGGGGGAGCGCGCGCCGAAAAAACGCGATTTTTTGGACATTTCTCAAAAAGTGCCTGAAAACGCCTTAAAAAAATGCCCTTAAAGTGCCTAAAAACGCGGCGCAGAAAATTTCGTCTGATGAGGGTCTTTATAGTTGTTTGGGAGAGCTCAGAAAATCAATTTGGTTGACCTAAAAAAAAGGTCGACCATATTTTCAAAACTTTTTTTAAGTGTGCCCTGTTCCGGCAGTAAAAACTCATTCAGATTGCTAACTGGGCAAAACAAACAAATTTGTTTTGTTTGCTATATAAAAAGGGATAGCTTAACAAGCAGGAATATTGGCAAAATACTTAAAATATGCGATGAACATTGGCCTGAACGCTGTCCAAAACGTTATTAGTTTGTTGTCTCGTCGCTTTCAAATTTTAAAGGTCTTTTCTCTCCAAAAAATCTAAAACCGAACGTTATATAAAGAGGATAGCTTAACAAGACGTGCTCACAAATTCTACAAAGCTTTTGCTAAGAGGAATAGCGGCAAATACTTAAAATATGCAATGAACATTGACCTAAACGCTGTCCAAAACGTTATTTGTTTGTTGTCTCGTCGCCTTCAAAAATATTTTTCTAAATGTGTTTTTGTTTCAGACTTATCTCTACGATTTTATGGAATTGTCGAAAAACGAGAAAGTTGTCTCGACGCCTCGAAAAGTAATTCCCAAAGAAACGAAGAAACCCAAAACTATACTTCAGTTTGGTCCAGAAATCCCTGACCCCCCTCAGAGTACAGAATCAGCTGCCATTATTCCCCCATCAAACGGGACTTATATAAGTCCACTTCGCAAACAACTGGACGAGCAAAGTCGCAGATACGCAACAACGAAAGACTCGGCTCATTAAGGATGCGAAACTATATTCTTTTTTATTTAAAGTTTTTCCACGTGTTTACGACTTAATCTTTATATCATTTATAAATTTACTACATAATAATAAAATTAAACCCAAATTAAATAATTTTATCTTTTTTTGCAGTCAGAAAACAACAAATTTACAGATGCATGTGAAAAAAGTCAAAGCTTAAGTGTTTTTCTTCTTTCCGACAAACGAAAGCCGTAAAGGTTTGACTGCAATCCATCGTCTATGAAATAGTTCTTGATATTAAACTTTCTTTTAAACTTTTAGTCTATGAAATAGTTATTGATATTAAACTTTCTTTTAAATTTTGCCCAAACGCTCGAATAAAATAAAATGACCAAATAGCTTGCCTCAATTCAATGAGATTGCTATCAGAGCCGGATTGAATCACCGCTATTTTGTTTTAAAATCTCGAAATATATCGAGCATTAAATATTCCAAATTGGACACCTTCAAACCCTACAACTGCATTCAATTTGAAAGAGAAATTTTTGCTTTGGGTTCGATTGATTTGTCCTCCAGGTACTTTGTTCACTCGGCATATATCAACAAGGATAGCCGGTTACTGTTCCGACCAAAATCTTAAAAAACCTGCAAGAAAAAAAGTTTTTTTTTTCATTTAGGTTCAGTTTTTTTTCTGCGTGGTGTGATAAAAAGATCTGACGTAAAACTATTATTTAGTCATACTCGACTGTCATAGTAAAATAGAGAAACAGGATGACAGATTTCGAGAAAAATTACTAAAAAACCCAAAAAAAATCAATAAAAATTCCCAGAGTTTGATTCCCAAAAAAAACATTAAAAATCTCAAAAAATTAAGTTACAAGTAAAATTTGAATTAAGCGTAAAAAGCTAATTCAGAGTTTGATTCCCAAAAAACATTAAAAATCTCAAAGAATTAAATTACTCGAGTAAAATTTGAATTAAGCGTAAAAAATCTGATTAAAAAAAAACAGATTTTCTTTTAAATTCTGCCCAAACGCTCGAATAAAATAAAAGTGAACCATTTTTTATTCTCGGTAACGCAATATTGAGACCAAATAGCTTGCCTCAATTCAATGAGATTGCTATCAGAGCCGGATTGAATCACCGCTATTTTGTTTTAAAATCTTGAAATATATCGAGCATTAAATATTCCAAATTGGACACCTTCAAACCCTACAACTTCACTCAATTTGATAGAGAAAATTTTGTTTCGGGTTGGATTGATTTGTCCTCCAGGTATTTTGTTCACTCGGTATATATCAACAAGGATAGCCGGTTACTGTTCCGACCAAAATCTTAAAAAACCTGCAAGAAAAAAATTTAGGTTTAGTTTTTCTCTGCGTGGTGTGATAAAAAGATCTGACGTAAAACTATTGTTTAATCATACTCGACTGTAATAGTAATATAGAGAAACAGGATAACAGATTTCGAGAAAAATTACTAAAAAACCCAAAAAAAAACAATAAAAATTCAGAGTTTGATTCCCAAAAATAACATTAAAAATCTCAAAAAATTAAATTACTCGAGTAAAGTTTGAATTAAGCGTAAAAAGCTACTGTAAACGGCCTAAATTAGGCCACAATAAGCGTGCTCGCTTGCTTTACTAGCCCAAAATCAGACGAATAAGAAAAAGTTTCAAACCAAGTTTTCTCGAAACAAGGAAAAAATTTTCAAAATTTTTAATGTCTTTCGAGTCTCGACAATAAGAGCTTCAATGATTATTTGTGGTCCCTATTTTTGCGTGGAAAATTAGAAGCGAAAAGAAAAAAAAAGAGAAAAAATTTAACACGGATAGCCGGTTACTGTGCAAGTAGAATTTCCGACCACATTCTTAAAACCAATAAAAAAATTAAACTTTTTTTTCACAAATTGGTTTCGTTTTTTTTCCGCATGTTGTGATATAAAAAAATCTGAACGAAAAATAGAATTTAGGCATCTTTGAGAGTCATAGTAAAACAAGTCAATTGGAAAACAGTTTTTGATTAAAAATCACAAGAAAAACGAGAAAAAAAAATTCGAAAAAATTTCAAAATTTTTTTTAAATTTCTTGCAATTTTTTTTTGAATTTTTAACTTTTTGATTCCCAAAATTGCGCTGGAAAACTCCTCAAACTACTTTTACTTGAATGAAACTAAGTTTTCACGGCTGAAATTAAGCATAAATAAGGCTATTGTAAGCATAAACGGTCACTTATTAAGTCGAAATTAGACCAAAAATCGAAAATTTAAAGCGGTTTTCTCAACATTGAAAGGATACTTTCAAAATTTTTAAATGTCGTTCAAATCATGACTGAAAAGGCTTTAACATGATATATCACTCAACTCAGTCCGATGAGTATTTGTGGTACCTGATTTTGTCCAAAAAATATAAAACACACCACAATACAAAGTTCCTCCCCATTTTAAATGGTCGAAACAAAAAAATATCAGAAGTGAATCAGGCTAATTGAAGTATCCAAACAAACAAAACCTGTCCAAAAATTACAACTTGAAAATGTCAACTTTGATGACAAAATTGAGCTGTAAATAATAATAGCAGACCCTTCATTAACACTAAATCCGCTAAAGAACATAAAACGAAGCATTTAAATAACTAGTGAAAACGTAGTTTGGGTCTTTTTCATTATGGCCCATTAGAAATAATTAAGACATAGCAATCATTTGATCAAAATTCCACAATTTAACATGTATACAGAGATGTCGCTGGGTTCCAGGAGCCTACAGTTTGGCCTCGTAATCTTGGATAAAATGGTGATATTTTCAAATATATGCAAATTTATGCGAACAGTTTGGCCTCGTAATCTTGGATAAACTGGTAAAATGGGGATATTTCCAAATTTAAACATGTTTTCATGTAGCTTTGTTAATTATGATGCTGGTGTGTTAATCCTATATGATTTCTTTTCGAAGAACCTCATTTTGCACACATTGTTTGCAATCTAAACAAGGATAGCTAGTTGCTGTGCAAGTAGCACAGAACCTTCCGACCACATTCATAAAAACTATAATCAAAAATTCTTCAAGTTACTAAGAAGTTCAAATAAGTGTCCTTTTTTGTAAGTGGTGCATTATAATAATCATAATAACAAAGGATTTAGGAATATAATCCAAGGGTTCGCATAAAACCCAGTCATTGCGTTATTCAAAGTTTAGTTTTCAGTTATAAGTGTAAGTTTCTTCAGGTCTCTACAGTTGTTGCATTTGCATAAAATGCGCCAAGTGCATGTATCTGATTCGTTGTAGCGAGTTTTGAAAAATTTTGTGTACATTCCTAGAAGTCTGTTTTTGCATTCTGGGTCAAACATTATGTCACATTTGAAGTATTCATTGTACAGATTAGCAAGACGACATGCCCGAAATCAGAAATCCGACTCGCACTTTTTCAGACGCATTTGTTTGCAGACGAAATTTCGTGTTATTTGAGCTCTTCGGTTTCCAACGTCAGTGATGCTTACATGGCTTCTCCAGTCGATGTCAATTTTTCCAGCTAGTATTTTTGCAAACAGCAGTCCAACATGAAGCTCTTGGTATTGAGACAAAGGAAGGATGTTAAGTTTTACGAGTTTGTCTTTATAGGAGATATGGCTAGTGCTTGTCATGAAAATCCACGAGATCGCTTTCCGCTGCACACTTTCTATGATTCCTAAGTCACCTTTTGATGTTTTCCAGATAGCTGAACCGTAGCACAGAATTGGCACAACGTAACAGATATATGCGTTTTTTCTGGTCGCAAAATTCGGCTTTGAGAGATTCCTTTCGAGTACGAAGAAAGAGTTTAAGGCTTTTTCAGCCCTCTTTTTTGCGTGTTGCGACCAAGAGAGCGTGTCGGTTATCACGATGTCCAGATCTTTCATTACTTCAGTGGTTTCGAAACTGTAATTGGGGAGTGCAATCGTAGCTGATCCTTTGACAGAGAGGACTTTGCTTTTCGTCAGGTTCATTGACATGCAGTTTTCTTCGCACCACCTCCAAAGTCTCCTAACATCTATGTTGAGAGTTAAAGGGTTGTCTCCAACAATTTTGTAGTCGTCTGCATAACCAAATGTTGCGGACATGACACAGGACGGTAGATCATTTATGAAGACTAGAAAGAAAAGCGGCCCGAGTATAGAGACCTGGGGTACGTCGCTGAAGACTTCCATCTCTCCGGAAATTGTGTATTTCAGCCTCACTGTTTGCTTCCGGTTCGAGAGGTAGCTGTGTATCAGAGATAAACTATTTCATCCAATTCGAGAAGTCGATAATTTCTCCATGAGGATTCCGTGCGAGACTTTGTCAAATGCTTTTTGACAGTCCAAATAGAAGGTGTTCAGGTAGTTGCAGTTTGGCAAATCTAGGCAGCTAAAAAAAATCGTGTAGATACTCTTTTAGGCTTGTTATCGTCGATCATTTAGGTCTACAATTGTGTTGGTCTGGTGTTAGGGTTGCGTAGACAATTGGGGCCAGTTTTTCAAATATTAGTTTCTCAAGCAGTTTTGACACTGCTGAGAGCAGACAGATGTAAATAATAATAGCAGACCCTTCATTAACACTAAATCCGCCAAAGAACATAAAACGAAGCATTTAAATAACTAGTGAAAACGTAGTTTGGGTCTTTTTCATTATGGCCCATTAGAAATAATTAAGACATAGCAATCATTTGATCAAAATTCCACAATTTAACATGTATACAGAGATGTCGCTGGGTTCCAGGAGCCTACAGTTTGGCCTCGTAATCTTGGATAAAATGGTGATATTTTCAAATATATGCAAATTTATGCGAACAGTTTGGCCTCGTAATCTTGGATAAACTGGTAAAATGGGGATATTTCCAAATTTAAACATGTTTTCATGTAGCTTTGTTAATTATGATGCTGGTGTGTTAATCCTATATGATTTCTTTTCGAAGAACCTCATTTTGCACACCTTGTTTGCAATCTAAACAAGGATAGCTAGTTGCTGTGCAAGTAGCACAGAACCTTCCGACCACATTCATAAAAACTATAATCAAAATTCTTCAAGTTACTAAGAAGTTCAAATAAGTGTCCTTTTTTGTAAGTGGTGCATTATAATAATCATAATAACAAAGGATTTAGGAATATAATCCAAGGGTTCGCATAAAACCCAGTCATTGCGTTATTCAAAGTTTAGTTTTGAGTTATAAGTGTAAGTTTCTTCAGGTCTCTACAGTTGTTGCATTTGCATAAAATGCGCCAAGTGCATGTATCTGATTCGTTGTAGCGAGTTTTGAAAAATTTTGTGTACATTCCTAGAAGTCTGTTTTTGCATTCTGGGTCAAACATTATGTCACATTTGAAGTATTCATTGTACAGATTAGCAAGACGACATGCCCGAAATCAGAAATCCGACTCGCACTTTTTCAGACGCATTTGTTTGCAGACGAAATTTCGTGTTATTTGAGCTCTTCGGTTTCCAACGTCAGTGATGCTTACATGGCTTCTCCAGTCGATGTCAATTTTTCCAGCTAGTATTTTTGCAAACAGCAGTCCAACATGAAGCTCTTGGTATTGAGACAAAGGAAGGATGTTAAGTTTTACGAGTTTGTCTTTATAGGAGATATGGCTAGTGCTTGTCATGAAAATCCACGAGATCGCTTTCCGCTGCACACTTTCTATGATTCCTAAGTCACCTTTTGATGTTTTCCAGATAGCTGAACCGTAGCACAGAATTGGCACAACGTAACAGATATATGCGTTTTTTCTGGTCGCAAAATTCGGCTTTGAGAGATTCCTTTCGAGTACGAAGAAAGAGTTTAAGGCTTTTTCAGCCCTCTTTTTTGCGTGTTGCGACCAAGAGAGCGTGTCGGTTATCACGATGCCCAGATCTTTCATTACTTCAGTGGTTTCGAAACTGTAATTGGGGAGTGCAATCGTAGCTGATCCTTTGACAGAGAGGACTTTGCTTTTCGTCAGGTTCATTGACATGCAGTTTTCTTCGCACCACCTCCAAAGTCTCCTAACATCTATGTTGAGAGTTAAAGGGTTGTCTCCAACAATTTTGTAGTCGTCTGCATAACCAAATGTTGCGGACATGACACAGGACGGTAGATCATTTATGAAGACTAGAAAGAAAAGCGGCCCGAGTATAGAGACCTGGGGTACGTCGCTGAAGACTTCCAGCTCTCCGGAAATTGTGTATTTCAGCCTCACTGTTTGCTTCCGGTTCGAGAGGTAGCTGTGTATCAGAGATAAACTATTTCATCCAATTCGAGAAGTCGATAATTTCTCCATGAGGATTCCGTGCGAGACTTTGTCAAATGCTTTTTGACAGTCCAAATAGAAGGTGTTCAGGTAGTTGCAGTTTGGCAAATCTAGGCAGCTAAAAAAAATCGTGTAGATACTCTTTTAGGCTTGTTATCGTCGATCATTTAGGTCTACAATTGTGTTGGTCTGGTGTTAGGGTTGCGTAGACAATTGGGGCCAGTTTTTCAAATATTAGTTTCTCAAGCAGTTTTGACACTGCTGAGAGCAGACAGATCGGCCTGTAATTTGATACGTCTTGTTTATCCCCATCTTTGAAAATTGGTGCGATTTCGCTGATCTTCCATTTTGCTAGAAATATCGCTTTATTTGCAATCAAGTTGAACAGTAAGTGAAGTGATTTTGGTAGTGACTTTGAGAGGTTTTTCAGAAGAGTATTACCAATCATGTCTGGTCCATTGGCCTTTTTTACGTGCAGCTCGTTTAGGGCATCTTCTATTTCATCGATCGTGAAATTGATACTGTTCAGAAGAACGTTATCGAGTCGTTCTGCTTTCCCAACGCTGGCGTTTTGTGTGAAAACTGATTGAAAAAATATATTAAACAATTCAACTTTTTGAGTGTCTATATTGGCTATTTTTTTATCTAGGAAGATCTCTGAAGGGATCATGCTAGACTTGGTGATCAATTTCAGATATTGTTGTATTTCGCTGAAATTCCAATTCTCAAAAAGCTTTTTTTTTCGTGGAGATGCTGGTCATTTTGAAGGGACAGTGTTAGTTCAGTTTGCAGATTTTCAATTTTGCCTTCGTTCGATGGGGTAGGTTTTCGCTGATTTTTAAGTTGGAGTGTATTTAAGTTCTTGATAAGGTAGGAGGAATCGCTTCCCAGCCAAGGAGCTAGTTCAGACCTGTGTTTTGTAGTGATTGGTAACAGGTCTTGTAGTATTTCGTGTAACCACTCGTACCAATGATCGAGCTTCAATTCAACGTTGCTCAAGCAAAATGGTTGGAAGGGGTGTTGACGAATGAATTCATTCACTTCTTCCCAGTTTGCTTTCTTGTACGCGAAAAAGCCAAAATCTAGTTTTTGTTTGATGGCTGGTGTCTTTTAATGAAAAGATCGGTAGTCAAATGAGACTCTGGCATGGAGTGGCAAATGATCGGAACTGAATAGACTACTCAGACGGTTGCCAAGTTTTATGCTGGTGACAAAATGCGGTTTGTTACTAAGGAGAACGTCCAGTGATTTTCCATCAGTGATTTTCCATCAGGGAGGGTTGACTGCTCATCTAG